GGACATGGTCATGACACAGTGGATAATTGTAGTCATGTACCATACAAATATTCTGCAAAAATATGTGTTGTTTATGAGGTGTAATCAAAACAAAGGCATTCAAATGGAAATTAAATGTCTGAATGAGTGAAAAAAAAAGCTTAGGGGTTTAGGTCTGACAAGATCCTAGTAGCTCACTTCCTGGTCAATATTCCAGGTCCCATTCCAACATAGTTATACTAAAGGAAACAGAGTTAGTATAAATGTTGTTAATTCAGAGTGGGGGAACTGTTGTAAGTGGAGTGCTTCAAGGCTCTGTCCTGGGACCTCTGTTACTTATAATTCAAATTTTAATTTGCTGTGTCAGGGGACAGGAAGCCAGAGTGTATTCATATATGTTAGGCTTATACTGAGGTCCTCCCCAAGGCCAAATTACTGACCCCGCCCAGGATGCAACCCCACAAGAAGTTGACTAACCCCTGAGTACCTACTTACTGTTAGGTAAACAGCTGCATTAGGTAAAAGGAAATGTGCCCAATCATTTCTGTCCCGCCTGGGATTTGAACCTGGAATTCTCGATTGTGAATCGAAAATGAACCCGACTGTACTACTGGGACCCAATACAGTATGTATATGCTGTACTGCATTTCAATGAAATTAGAATTAGGTTTAGCAGCAATATTTGCAATTTTGTTGATCTGAAAAACAGGAGGGAAAATAAACTGAAGGTAAATCAGGTAAAATCAGGAAGGAGACTCAAAATCACTTCAAGATGATCTAGGAAGGGTTCTGAATGCTAAAAAAAACTGGTAGATGCAGTTTAATGCTGAAATGTAAAGTTATGAGGCTAGGTAATGATGATGGTTACAGGATATGAGCTGGATATATTAAAATTACACAAGTTGGATTACAAAAGGGATCTGGGAGTGATGATTAGTAAGAATTTAAAGCCAAAGAATTAATGCATAAATGTTCAAAATAAGGCAAATAGGTCATTGGGAGTTATTTCTAGAAGTGTTAGCAATAAAACACATGGTGTTATATCTTGCTATATCTTGCTCTTATTAGCTATATCTTGCAGCTATATCTTGCTCGTATTAGGCCCCAATTAGATTATGCTGTTCAATTTTGGTCACCATACTATAAAATGGACATAAATTCACTAGAATACATCCATCATAGAATTACAAAGGTAATTCCACAAATTAGAAACCTTCCACATAGAGAGAGATTAAAAAACTTAATTTACGTTCTCTAGAAAAGCAAAAAATTAGAGATGATACGATTGAAATGTGCAAGTGGATGAATGTGCATAAAAAAGGGGATATTAATGTATTAAATATATCAACAGACAAACATGAAACAATGGACATAAATTGGATAAGTTTAAATTTAGGAAAGACCTGGGTAAATACAGTACTGGTTCGGTAACAGGGTTACCTATTTGTGGAACTAATTACCGTGTAACATAATACATGTAGGATCCCTTGATTGTTTTAAGCATAAGCTAGACATATGAAGAGTTTGAGTGGATATAAATAGGAGCTGTCACATGTGGACCAATAGGCCTTCTTCAGTTTCCTTGATTCCTATGTTCTAATGTTCTTATGTTGTGTTGCCCTGGGTTGGGTGTCCCATTCCAGCAATTTGTCTTTGTGAGCATCTTTTTGGCTCTCCTCACTCTTCAGTTCCATGTTTTCCTTCTGTTAGTTTCAGAGGGCCACTGTTTCTCTCCCCCCCCAAAAAAAAATCCAGCACTGAATATGATGAAACACCTCTTTTTAGCAGGGCCTCAATGTTATTGTTTTAGATTCAGCTACTCTGAACAAAAAGTTCCAAGCAGCATGGGCTATGGTGAGCCCGTAGTGGACTTACCTGGCATCGAAGCGGTGCTGTATGGGACTCGATGGCTCCCCGATTCCTTTTGTTTCTACCAGGTGCACCTGCTCATGGTCTAAAATGAGTGTGTGGCTAAGATGGTGTGGAAGCAGAGAGCTTCTAGTGGTGCTGCCATTTGGTGTTGGCCAGCAGTAACTAGGGGGCTTCAACCTAGTCTCTGAGTGAGTTGTTTGTAGAGTCATTTGGCTGTTTCGGTGCTTTGCTTTTTGTGGACCTTGCAGTTGTCTGCATTGCTTCACGTTCCAGATACTTTCTCAGGTTGATGTTAACAATCCCCTGCTCCCTGAGCCTCTGTGAGGGGGGTGGGCCAAGTTCTGGCTCTGGTATGTAGGTCATATAGGATGTCTATGGTTAAAACATACAAATAATGTAGACAGTGTTATGGCATGAAGTACAATTACATGGTTAACAATTTTGTTCACTTGTTGACCCAACCATTCCATAACACATGGCCAAGAGATGACATCAATTTATTAATAGAATAATATTTAAGAGGCTTATAAAAGATCAACTTCAAAACATCTAATTGGGTAATGCTGGTAGGGGCTTAAAATTCCAAAGAATAAACTGCACATAAAACAAGAGTTTCAAATTCCATAGTGCCAATGAGAATTGGAGAATATCAGTCGGTGGCCAAATTGGATCGGTAGACATCTGATGTTCACTGTATGAACATCAGAAGTCTACAGTTGTTCAATATCCTCCTAATAAGTATAAGAAATATTACAGGAACAAAAGTGGAATTCAAGAAAAACTGGACAATTTTCTGCAAGAATTGCCAGATCAACCAGACTGTAGCAGATATATGGGCCTGCAGGCCGCTCCAAGCAACAACCTGTTGGATCAAGCTCTCACTAGTCAAGCCTGGCCCCAGGCCAGGTTTGGGGGGGAGAACAACTCCCAGAGTCTCATCCAGGTACAATCCAGGTAGACAAAGGACCGATAGTGCTGTTGACATACACAAGTTCCTATTATGCTTAATTAAAGACCTGTAGGACTTTAATCTGTGTCAAACTTGATAAACCATTTACAAACCAAGTGGGTTTACAACAGAATTTACAATGAAACAGCCAAAATATATTTAATAAAGTCGACTCAACTTACGAGGAAAAATTTAGTTTTCAGTTTACTGTAAAGTGTTTAGGCCTAATTGGAAAAACATGGTTGAAAAGGTAAAGGTGAACTGCAACACTTAAAAATTACACATTAAAAGGGTGAAGAATATGCAGAATGGATATGCAGAACTGAAAATTAGCATTTGAACTACACTCTCTTTAAAGAATTGGATGCTGATAACTTCAAAACCTTTTTTATGACAAATTAGATGGCTAATATATGACAAATTAATTATGGCTAATATATGACAAATTCCAAGACAATATGGTGGAAACAAAATGACTAATTCAACAACAAATGCTTGGAATCATTAAAGGCAAATAATGGAATTGATACAGAAAATGTTCCAGTCCACATTCCTATTAACCCTTTGACTGCGATGAGGAACAGCAGTTCAAACTGGCCAAAATACACCCTAAAATGTGATGAGCATCCCGAGTCCACAACTAGGAAAAAAAAAGGTTCCAAATAGCATAATATTTAAACCAATCCTCTGACCTTCAAAAAGAGGCCCTTGACCTGATAAATGTTAGCAGCAGCAGTTGGTGGTAGCACTTGCTGCAGTCTATGGGCACCCATGTTACCTCCTGTTTCTCTCAGTCTAGCAAACCAGTCATCCAAGATTTTCATGCATTCCAAAAGTAAGGGGTGTGTGTATTAGGCCATGAATAAAATGGCAAAGGATAGAACAGAATGGAGTTCAAAAGACAGTAAAGTACAGTACATTTGACAGGGCAGAAAAGCAGAAGAGAATCTTATAATTGGACAGAGATGAGTATTAGGGTGTCCTGTCCTCCCAGTACTGTCATGTGATGCCTTGAAACTGGTGACAGTTATGGCCTCCACCACCATCTCGCTTGACTTGTTCCAACTGTCTTCCACTCGGGACATGCTTAGTTATGATCTTTGACAGATGAAGCATGCAGCTGTAGTGACACTTGATCAACAATAAAAAAAAAAAAAATTCAATAAGTATTTTCTTGGCTGTCTTCTAATTTGAGGCAAATCCTGCTACCATAACTATAATGGTGGACACAAAGAGTACTTTGAGATGCAGAGGTACAGTACCTCTGAAGTCAACAACCAAAGGAATCTGAGCTGGCAAGAGCAACAGTAATGGCCAAGAACTTTGTTGTTGTTGACGTGTGTAATTTATAAGCATATTGTTCTCCAGCACATTCAGTGTGCTGGAGAAGAGATTAAAAGTTCTACAAGGAAAATCTGAGGATTTGTTTGAGGGGTCCCCACCATGTATTTTCTTTTCTGACCTTTGGGTGAATGTGCGTATTGGAGAGTAGATAGTGCATTTTGCACCTCGTCATAATAAATGACCTTAGTTTATACCATATATTTTATAAAATGTTTGGCCTACATAGTAAATGGACCATAACCTTGGACCATTAAGTACATAAAGCATTCTAAATACTTTCCTGTTTAAATGATGGCCATGGGAAAAGTACTGTACTATCCAGTTGGCTGGATGAGTTTGCTTATTAAAGGGAAAATTATTACACTGCACTGCCTAATTGTATTTTATGCAGCATCCTTTGCAACCCATTTGGATTTCAGAGCAACCAATTTCACCATTTTCTTTGGTTTCAGTTCTAGTGAAGTAATTGATGAAGACCCTTAACCACCGAGGTGGGACATGTCACGCTAATTGAAGGAAAAATGTTTTATAGTAAATATGGCAGTTATTACCCATTTGGATATTGCCACTGTTACCATTCCTTAATTGATGAATTTCAGCTTCTAAACTTGCTACACACTGTTTGTGATGGCAGTTTGAATTATCGATCTCGCCAACACATTACTGTGATGGTTTCTTCCAGGTCCTGGTTATTGATCTTAGTCCTACTGAACCCACATATTTTAGTGTTTATTAATTTTTTGTGTACAAAATATTACTTAAAAAAAACTCTGATCTGTGGATGTTGTCAAGTAAATATTTAGCTATGTTAACTTGCATATAAACACCTACAAATATATAATGACATACATTGCAGGTTATTTTAGGCATGGGCTACACGGAAAATGTAGACATATGGTCTGTTGGGTGCATCATGGGAGAAATGATACGAGGTGGTGTTCTTTTCCCGGGCACAGACCACATCGATCAATGGAACAAAATTATCGGTAAGTAAATAATTTGCAACATTTAGATTTGATATAAGTACAGTAAAAAAAGTTATTATAATATGTATGCTGATGTTGGAGAGTACACTCACCTATTGTAAAATTGTGTAGATATAAAGTGAAAGTAAAATAGATAGGGGGGAAAAGGAACTAGGGAGGGGAAAGGCAGGGGATGGAGGGAGGCAGGGGGAGGGGTGGTAAGAGAGGGAGGGAGGGAGAGTGGAAAAGAGGGAGGGATGGAGAGTAGAAAAGAGGGAGGGAGGGAGGGGGAAAGGGTGGTGGGAAAGAGAGGGGGAGGGAAGGGGAAGGGTGGTAAGAGAGGGAGGAGGAAGAGGAGGGTGAGGGAGGCAAAGCAACAGGAGCATGATGAGAGTAAAAGATACTGGAGAATATTAGGCCAAACAAAAGTATGAATTAGAAGTTAGAATACAAAATCCCAGTTAACCAGTTATGGGATCCTACCTTCTTAATGTGCTTCACATAATACAGGTGGGGTTGTTTGTGGTCTTCCATTTCCCCAAAGGTGTTGCCTGTATCTCCAGGCATGTTTCTAGGTTTACCTGCACTCCGGGTGTCTTAACAGTTACTGTATGCTTTTCCAGCTCTGGTGTTCTGACCAGTCTGGCTTGGTACATCCCTAGTTCTCTCAGGGTTGTGCTTTGGTTTGGGTTCTGGGCCTCCAGGATGATCTCCCAAATTTCTGTGGCTCATTTTAGTTTCCTGTGTGGTTTTCCTACACTTGTTTTGGTGAGGAACCAGCTCTCTAATGAGCTTCCCAGGACACCTGGAGCAAGTACTCTCTCTCCAGTGGTAAGCCCATTTCCCTAAACATAAGAGCATTTCTTGACCCCTGGAATGTTTTGTCGGTTTTCTGGTCTCTTTGTACATCAGAGCTAATTCTTTAACAGATACAAAATTAAATCACATTAATGTGATGTATCAATGAGAAAATCAGTAGAGTTTCTACTGATTTTTCATTGATACATAACATTAATGTGATTCCATTGTGCATTTGAAGAGAAGCATTGGAGATAGAACTCCTGGACCTGGACTCCAGAGAGCATGGAGATAATGTATGAAACCCTGATTGAGCTTCAGTGGAAGCCCCAGGGACCCTAGAGGAATCCTAGGTTGCATTACACCATGTTTGTGGTGTAATGTCTAGGGTGTGTCTTGGGAATATGAGGTGTGTGTGGTTTAAATCCTCCTCATGGTTCCTGCTGATTTTCTCTTTGTCCAATCTAGAAAATGTATCTGTTAATGTGCAATTTATTAAAGTTTTTGTGATGACTGTAAGTAGCTTCCTGGAGCTTTAGCTATTATTATCATGCCCTTCCCCACCAAAGCTATATTCTCTGAGGTGCCTGGGTACTTCCTTTATAGGTTGGCTACCTGTACTCAGACCAAGTCCATTCCATCCAGCGGTCAATCCTAAACTCGCATCCATCAGTTTTAACGTGCTGTTCATTCAAAATAGAAATTTTCTCAAATATAAATTAATATTGTTATAAATTAGCATACAATGCATATTTAATAATTGGTTAGTTTGGGGTTCTGTTGGTGATTATTTGTACAGTACTTGTAGTACATGGGTGAAGCATTTACAGCATTGTGGATCGAACAAAAGTTGTCAGTGAAGCATTTGGGGGGGGGGAAGGCTCGCTTTGTTTGTTCTAAAAGTGTTTGGACCGGGTCTCGCCCAGAAAATGGCTTTTCATTACATTCAAAACTGTTTTTTGTGGGGAAAGCCCCTTGTGGCTCCCTGAAGCTTCCATCTCCAATGTTGATGCCATCAGTTGCGGAGTTCTCTGGTCTACCGGGGACCCAGAGCCCAAACCTGGTCCCCTCACAGAATCTCGGGAACTGTGGCATTTATATATTAATTTATTAATTTACGTCATCGCCAAGGAAAGCACCCAGAAAGTCATCGATAAAAAATGAACCACAGCTGGCAGCTTCCGATACCTACAGGCTCGCAAATGACCACAGAACTCCCCAAATTATGATAACTGCAGCAACACATCCTTCCTGATGTGTGCCCATGTCTACCTTTTCTGTGTGTAGTTAGCTTCAGGGAGTCACAAGGGGGTTCCTCCCAGAAAACAAGCATTCATTGTAATGAAATGCTAATTTCTGGTGAGCCCCTGTGGCTCCCTGACACCCTCCCTTCCCCAGGGAGCAGCTTGTGAGCTGTGGCCTGCCCCCTTCTTTCTCCAGCGAGAGGAAGGGATGGTCGAAAGAGTGGGCACTGGTTTATATTTTCAATCGTTTGTTTACATAGTTTGGAAGTTCTGTGGCCATTTTCGAGCCTGCAGGTATTGGAAGCTGTCAGCTGTGGTTTGTTTTGTCTTGCTGACTTTCTGGGTGCTTCTTTTGGTGGTGGAGTAAATTAATAAGTTTATAAATACCACAGCTCCCTGTGCCTCTGTGAAGGAGGACCAGGTTCTCCAGATAAACCAGAGAGCTCAACTGATAGCACCTAATAGATTGTACCTACATCAGAGATGGTAGCTTCAGGGAGCCACTGGGGCTCACCCAGAAATTGCTATTTCATTACAGTCAACTCTTGATTTTTATTTACGGTATGCAGTATTGTATTTAATTTCAGTTTATAAAACTGCTGGTTTTTGATTGCTCTAAGAGCAGTTGACTGATATCCAGATATTTTAGCATTTTACATAGTGTAATTTCACTGAGAAATTGTACTTAAAAACTATCTTAGATGCAACAGATAGTGTTAGACCCCACTTAATGCTCGAAAAGTGCCAAGGAAGTTCTATATATGTATGATATATGTATGATATATGTATGATGGCCATTATATGAGCAAGTAAAAAAGAGCGAGACTGGCAACCAAATTACTCAACAATCTGCAAAATATAAATAATGAAATGCCTCTTTTTTTGCTAAGAGAAATGTATAAAATTGGTTGATGATTGCATTACAGAACAGCTGGGCACCCCATCACAAGACTTCATGTCAAGGTTACAACCAACAGTTCGCAATTATGTGGAAAACCGTCCTCGCTATCCTGGATATTCCTTTGATCGCCTTTTTCCTGATGTCCTATTTCCTGCTGAATCAACGGATCATAATCGGCTCAAAGGTGAGGAGGACAGCGATAGATATTGGCCCAAGCAGCACAGCTACTACTGGATCAGAGGTGAGGCTGCATATTACATTTTGTGTGGGACGTGTAGCATGGTGTGCAGTGCTGCTTACACTACTGGAGTACGAGCCCACCTTCATATCCCACTTATGGAATCTTGATGAAAATGATCCTGATTAATAAGAAAAAGTTACATTGAATAAGAACTAAACTTTTTCTCAGTAAATGTGATGCAAAGAAATGATGGAACCAAGGTTGTCAAATGCAGTCAGTCTTCTGTATGTGAAAGACACAAAAAATAACAGTAAATGTTTAGAATAGTATGTACGTTGATGAATAACTTCTGCATTCCTTATGATCATTTTGAGTGTAGCAAAATTTCAGAGATAATTTATTAAATTTATCCTTCATCAAAAAGCAGTATCTAAATATAATTTTCCATTGATATACTGGATAAATGATTACTTGAATAAACTGTCAGAAACAGGAATCCCATGGCATGTCAAGGCTTCCATTAATAAAGGCAAAGCCTTGTCCCATGTGTCTATGCTTTGGACAACTAGCCAGACCCAGTAGTGGTTAATCTGACTCACTAAACACGGTACACACACACAGCCTACGCTGTTTTATTGATCAGGATCAGTTCTAAATTCACTTGTGAGTTATTGTTTGTTTTAAAAGCAAGATGGAAGAAAAAAGTTTACAATGTTTTCTTAGCACTATGCACAGTGTGCATTGATTAGATGTATATGCTAAAGTTATGATTACCCTGTGAGTTACTTGAGTGTATTTACTGAGACTGTGCTCTGTGGAGCTACATCAGTCACACCGAAGACCACTAGTAGTTTTAAAGGTATAGACGAGAGAAATTTACAGAGAGAGACAGATGTATGAGGTAAAATATCAACACTGCTCTTTGAAAGTGTTCTCAACAATACTATGGAGGTGCAGCTTATATCAACATAAAATGACAATTACCAACTCTAGAAAAAAAAATTGTATGCGCATATATGAAATACATTAATGAAATTAGTGAATAATTAACCTGGATCTAATTTATTAGATCCAGGTTTTAATGGATAGAACGCTATTAACCTATTTTTTCTATATGCGAGTTAAATGATAACTGTTTAGACTAGCATCGTGGAAACTTTGACTGTTGCACAAAGACAGATGTTTACTATAATATATTTCAGTGCATGTGGTTATCATGGCTAATATATTTAAAATGTTAATTAATTGTACGTAACATTAATTTGAAGGCACCCAAACAGCCGGTCATATGTTGACTAGAATGTGAGCAGTGTGTAGGCTTCAGTATCTTAGTATCACATGCAGCAAAATAAATATATAACCACCTAGCTGGAAAGCTGAACAATGCAACATAAACAATTATTGAAATATAAATAATTGCACAAAGAGGTCACAATAATGTGATGTATCAATGAGAAAATCATGGCTCCTACTGATTTTCTCCTTTAATTCATTTATAATTTTGTAATTATTTTCATCAAGATTACCATGTTAATTAGCATAATCATTTACCCAACTTCTACTGCTGACTGACTTAAAAACAAAAAAATAACTCGAGTCCAGGTAAGTTCAATTTGAGTTTTACTAAAAAAGATATTTTGAACTGAAGCTATTCATACCTTTATTAGAATTAACAATGAACTAATTTTAGATGGTTTGTTTTCCTAAAAGTTAGCAGCATGTTTGAGTCATTATAGTTAGGTGTGCCCAATAGGGATGCCCACTGGTGTTAGGTGTGCCCAGTAGGGATGCTCAATGGTATTAGGTGTGCCCAGTAGGGATGCCCGCTGGTATTAGGTGTGCCCAGTAGGGATGCCCGCTGGTGTTAGGTGTGCCCAGTAGGGATGCCCGCTGGTGTTAGGTGTGCCCAGTAGGGATGCCCGCTGCCCTAATATATTCCTGTGTAACAAATCATCTTAGTTTTTATGATAGAGCCACAGAGCTACTACAGGAAAGAAGTGGTTGGGTTGACTATTTGGACCTAAAAAAGGCTTTTGATAGTCCCACACAAGAGGCTGTTCTGGAAACTGGAACATGCTGCAGGGGTTACAAGAAGACTTCTGACATAGATTAAAATTTTTCTAAATGACAGACAAATGAGTGCAGTAATCAAAGACAATGACTGGAGGAGTGTTACTAGCAGAGTACCACAGGGCTCAGTTCTTGCACCAGTAATGTTCATCGTCTACATAAACGATCTATCAGAAGAAATGCAGAATTACATGAACATGTTTGCGGAAGATTCTAAGATACTGGGGAAGATAGGAAATGTAGACGATTGTAATGCCCTTCAAATTTATCTAGATGAAATAAGTGCTAGAAGTGTCTAAGTAGCAAATAGAATTCATTGTGAATAAATGCTGTTATGAAATGTGGAAATGGAGAAAATAGACCACACACAATTTACAAATTATGTGGAAAGGAATTACAGAACTCTAATAAAGAACGAGACCTAGGGGGTGGTTTTGGATAGTAAGCTGTCCTCAGAGAAACACACAAAGAACATTGTGAGAGGAGCGTATGCATTGCTTTCCAACTTCAGACTTGCTTTTAACACTTTCTGCGGATGAGGACTCCTCCCGGCGTCCTGTTTTGCCTACCCGCTAAGTGGACATAAATTTATGTCCTCTTTTAAAATATTTGTATAAAATTCAATTTTTATCCAATTTACTTTGGGTTTGACTTTGGGTTTGTTTCAAACTGCGTGCCATGAGGCTCTCTTTCTCACCAATAGGCTGCATGGTACAATAAGTTCATGAAAGGTTCACAAACATAACAAAAGTAAAAACATTTCGTGTGTGTTTGACTCTCACTGATATGTTCCAGCGTTGTTTTATATTTGGCGCTATTCTATCTTACGCTTTGTTGATCTTTTTACCTACGGGCTCATAGAACATTCTATTGCGAACACATTGACACAAAAATGAATGATGTACATAGAATAATAATGTCATGAGAGTGAAATAAGTATAAACTTTCAAAGCGCCGTGCGTCGTCCCGTCACCGATACCGAGTAACAATTTCACCACTTCCCACACTCTTGCGGGCGGGCCGCAATCATTATTCTACGCTTATATTCATATCACCATGTTGGGAATTTCATTGCGAGTCCATTGATATCAAAATTAACGCTGTAGGACAAGTGTGGAGGTGATAACAATCCCAAGAGTAAAAACATTTTGTTGCTGTTGGGCGCTCACGGCGAGTCATCTTCGTAGTTATTTATTTGGTGCTGGTATCCCTATACGTTTTGTGACTTTTTTTACTGATGTTCTTCTAGAGAATTTTATTGCGAACACGTTGGTACCAAAATGAAATACGTAGCTCAAGAACTAAGGTCAGGAGAGTAAAAAGAGTATACACATTTTTGTTTTTACGCTTACGCGGCAAAACGCCGGGAGCACATACTGTTTTTTTTTTTTTACCTTCGCCGGGAGGCTGAAAGTGTTAATTATATGGATGGTGAAATAATAAAGAAACTGTTCGTGACTTTTGTGAGACCAAAATTGGAATATGCAGCAGTTGTATGGTGCCCAAATCTCAAAAAACACAAATAAACTGGAGTACATTGAAGGTACTCCCTGTACAGTACTTCCATTTTTGCTGCAGTACTCCCTGTACAGTACTTCCATTTTTGCTGCAGTACATGGAAGACTGTAAAATGATGAGACAATATTAGCAGTAGGTGGAGAGGAAAGTTGTAAAGGTTAATGGGTGGAAGTGATGAAACAGATGCTAATGTGAATACAGTATTATTGGAGTTTACAATGTGAGACAAGTGCAGGATCACATGACGGCAAATACAGTATATGCATGGAAGAGGTGAGCACATCAGTGAAGCAAGTGAAGTGTGAGAAAGTTACTGGTGTGAACTGCATAAATGACTTCATGTAGATAAGAAACAAGAGGAGTAGGTGTAGAGAATTTGCAAGAAGGTAGGGAATAGTGGTGCTGTCGCAGAGCATTGGAATAGAGCTGATGGTACCACTATAAAAATAAGGTAAAAAAAAGTGTGAGTAATAATAATATAATATGATATTAGTTACTAAGAGTGTGTGTAGATGAGATGTATGTAGATCAGAAAGCATATATGAAAGATTGCAAGGTTCATATGCATTAATGTACTCTAAAAAGTGTATGACAAATTTAATAGAGAAGATCTGTGGAGAGTGATGACTATGATTTGACTTGACAGAGTTCTTTTTAAATGATATATAAAGTACCTATGTGGGAAGAAGTGCAGAATAAAATAAATGACATAATAAGCAACTGGGTTCATATTATTGGAGGTTTACATCAGAGTTGTGATATCATTGTTCTTCAATATATTCTTAGACTGACCTCTAACTTTTGCTATGAATGTTGAGATATTATAATGTAGTGTATAGGGAACTAGAATTAAACCATGTCTGGTGTTAAATAAGAGGAATGAAAATGTCATGGCAAGATGTGTAGTGCAAAAGTCTGTATAAACAGTAAAATTTCGGAGATGATATCAAGCTGGTTTGGGAATGGTGAGTGAGTGACTGATGGTAGACCAATGATACAAGTTTATTCCAGTAAATTTGAGGAGGATGAGTAGGCCAGGAAGATGGGCAGCCATGATGAGTGAAAGGTAAATCGAGGAGTGTAAACAGTACAAAGGATATGATAAAAGGCAAGGCTGGATGGAAACAGTTTGTAAGAAAGGAGTCCATTGTACGCCTATTCCATTGAAACAGTGAGTGCTTCTGTAAACAACTGCTCGAGTGGTGGTTCTTGTTTTTAAGTGATGGTACGTAGTGTGAATTATATAACGAATGGACGTAATATTTAAATTTTTAATATCAATAACTATACTGTATGTCCATTATTAACTTTGCAAATGTGGGGAAACTTGAGGAATGAATTGACTTTATCTTTTGTTAAACATAAAATACCATCACTTTGGGTGTTATGCAAATTACAAGGCATTGTTATTTTTCTGTACAACTAAATAGCTTTACACATGACAGGAGCATTTATTTTCTTTTTTTTATTTTCCTCGGTTCTTGCTAAACACTGTGGTTTGTTACTAATGAGGGCCGGGTTGTCTGGGTGAAGACTCACATTCGTGCCCTTTTTCCTACATAATTGCAGTATGATATTGAGAACAGATTTGATATCGGCCTCAAATCAGTAATAAGTGATGGTATTTCTATGAATTTTAGATGGAAAAAAATAATGGCAGTATGCAGTGGCTAGTGCTGTGAACATCTTGAACTTCTAAAATAAATATGTAGTATACTTAAACTCTCAAATACAATAATGTCTAAGAAAACTATTTTGGGTAAAAGCACTTATGTACATATTTTGATAACTAGAACTTCTGTTTTATTAACTTATTTTTAATGGTTTCAGCAAGTCAAGCACGAGATCTGTTATCGAGGATGTTAGTAATTGACCCCGAGCGGAGGATAAGTGTTGACGAAGCACTCATGCATCCCTATATTAATGTTTGGTATGATGAAGCTGAAGTTAATGCTGTAAGTATTACAAAAATTATGTAATTACCATACTTCTCATATTTGACCACTGACCTTCACACTAGAATATACTGACCTTAACCACTTACCTGCGCCAGCCGAGTATACACGGTCGGCGAGAAATTAAGTTAGTCGTGTCATTAGTATTAATATTCCCATTTTTTGGCTAAAAGTGTTTTGGATACTATTTCTATGGTACTATTTCCTCTCAACTCCTGTGTTATTTTTGAAATCATAAAATTCAGAAACATCAAATTTATTACTAATTCAATTTTAGGTAGCTGAAAATGTATATTTCTAGTACAATTGAATATTTTTTCCATAGCCTGCACCGGGCCCATACGACCACAGTGTTGATGACCGTGAACATACAGTAGATCAGTGGAAAGAACTTATCTACAAGGAAGTAATGGACTATGAGCTGGTTTATAATTCTCCAGGTGGTGCTGGGGCTGGTGCACGTGGACCAGCTACCACTCATGCCCATGCCCCACCTGCTGCCACTAATGCAACTGCAGATGGTGACCAAGACCAACATCGTCCCAATCACAGATAGGACTGCCCTCAACCGTCTTAGCAGTCCCTCCGCCCTATGCCTGCCCTACCAGCTCACTCCTTTGTTGCACACAATTCACATTTGCTGCTGGCAAGAGACTGGTACCCATCAAGAGTTTGAAAATATGGTTAGCTCACCATTGCTTAACATGAGAATGAGAATATGATGGATTTTTGTTTGCAGTGTGTGAATGGGCCAGTATTTCTTGGTAGTTTGCTGTTTGATTGAGGTCAACTAACAGCTGTGTGCATCACCTGTTAGGAGTAACTGTCACTTCTTGTGACTGGGCATTGCAGGTTTATACTTGAAGCAACTGTACAGTAGCTGAAATTCTTGTGCAGTTATGTGACATCTCTGATCCCTCTTGTGCTTCTTGGCTGAGGCACATCATTCTGTGTAGTCCACATCATCTTCTGTGTCCATTTTGTGTTGTCAGAGTGAGTGTGCGAGTGCATGCATCACAAGTTTGAAAAATACAATTCAAACCATGATGATATAGACAAAAATATGCAATTTAGGTACTGTAAACTGTAGATAATTTCCTGCTTTCCTCATCAACATCGGAGAGAACCTGTGTACTTTCAGTGTTACCACTTACAAAATAAGATTTGTTTGCAAAATGCAATACATTGAGTCCCTATACCAAGTGAAATACTGCAAGGAATTACCAGTCTTGCTCAGCTTTTGTCAATATTGTCCAATAATTTCATGGTTGTTAAATATTTCCCATAAAGTTTGCAGAAAATATGCGGGGAAATATTTTTGCTGGTGGCTGCTAAAGAAATAAAAGTAAGGCATATCAAGTAATGATTGTGTGATGGTTGCTTATTTACAATAAGAATTATAAAACTTCTTTTATTGAAAAGTTGTGCGAGGAGGTATGTGTTGGGCTTGTGTTAATCCAAGACATTAATGAAATATTTTGAGATCTATCCATGTGATAAAAGTAAATTTTTGGTTTTAGTCCTTTTTAGCATAGCAGTTCTTCCATGGGTCTCATAGGCAAGCAATTTACAAATGTACAGTTATCTCGGTTTGTATTTCGTGTACAGATGAAAGTCTGTTGATTTTTGTGAAGTGAATTGTAAGGTAAAAAGCAACTTGAAATTGTTTGCATTGTTTAAGCATCCATTTTACCATTTCATATTTAGGCAGAATATGACGTCCCAAACTCTGCCAAGAATATGCAGTCTCTCTCTCTTCACACCATAGTATCATACCGTGTAGGGTTTTGAGATGGATGAGAACAGCCAGTAAGGGACAAAACTCCAGGTGAATTCCCCAGTTATTTTACCATTCTAATGAGTCCAGCCTCAGTATCATACAAAATCAGATTGTCTAACTTTTAAGCATCAGCTTAAGAAGGCAATATTTTTTTTGTTTTTGGTTTTTTTACTGTATCAAGTTTTGTTATTGCTAGTGGAAAATAACCCAGAGTTATGTCTCTTACTGGAATGGCTCAAGTCCGTCCACCACTCAGCTTGCAGAGGTGACATTTGACTTGCAGGCACAGGGATAGCTTGGCTCGTTTCTCTCCATTCAGCATATGTGAAAGTTATTACTTGGATTAATACTTAAGAGACAATCTCATTCAAGAAGCAAGTTTAATTTGTTAATATAATTTATCTCAAAAGGAGCTTCATGACTGAAAAAGCTGCAAATTAAAGCAGCACAATCTATGGTATATAACAAAAGTATTTATCATTTAGATAAATAGTTCACAAAATTATAGGTTTAAGCATCTTGTTTTATTTCCGTTTGAATTTTCTGCCAAGCCTTCCCGGCAGCTTGCTGTAGCCAAGTGCAGCAACACCTCATCGTCCCCCCCCCATCATGAAAGTGCTTCAAGAGTCCAACAAGTCCCAAATAGCATGAGTTTTCTGCAAGTACCCTTATCTAGCCTATAGTATGCTATAAAAGATTGGGTTACCTTGTGCAGGTTTTCAATAGTCTTTTATTAATTATTTCACTTTTATTAAGTCATGAGCTGGTACTACTTGGCAAATATATATTGACACTTCAAAAACATTGTTTAAAAATCTTACACTTAACTAGCAAGTTCTGCTACATGTAACATAAATCTGTATAGCTCGGGAGTATTAAAATTCTGCATAAAAGACAACAGATGAGCCCAAACCTACTCGTCTCATCTGGGCAATAACAGAATTACTGTACTGTGCTTGCACCGGTGTTTTTTCTGTGATACACAAACATCCACTGGACTACTTCTTACCAGTAAAGTTTATAATAAATTAACATGGATGTTCTTTGATGCACCATCTTTTAAAACAAAATAGATTCCAATTCAAATTGCCATGTTATTTAAAAAGATTTGAATTCTGCCCCTTTATATGGCTTTCTTAGAAATATTGTTGACAGCAATAATGATTTAGTTAGTTGTGTAATATTCATACCATGAGTTTCTTAAATTCTTTAGATTACAATACACGATAACACTTGCCTGAGTAAGAGTTCAGTAGTGGCACTTTCACGACCCTCAATATATTAATCTTGCTCATTACCAGTTATATTATCTAGAAATATGAAATGGGATTTTCCCCCATATTCACATCATATTTATTGTTTTTAAATAATTATGTTCTATAGTTTATAGTACTTTGTGTCAAAAGACATGAGCATCTTAATTGTATGAGCAAAGTTAATCTATAATTTCCTTCTTGTTGTACTGTGTATATATTCAAGAAATTTTAATCAGTGAGCTTTGTATTGTAACTTGTGAAGCATGATGCACTTTATTAGGAATCTGAACAAAAGAGCAATTGTACTTTCATTTAAAAAATACATTTACTTATGTACACAAGAATTTCCTTTAATTAGACTTTCCAGTGTCATGTTTGTGTACTGTAGAATTTTCCAGATGATGGTACAGGCTCTTCTGTTACTCCCTGAGCTTTGAAAGTTCATTCCTATTCCATAATTTTGGGAATGAATCTTTAATATATACATTAATATGAATATTACAGTTCATTAATTAGTAATGTTACTTATCTGTTAATAATTTTAATGTTTTTTAAATTTTACTTCATGTTCAAGAATCCGTAGCTAGATGCAAGTCTTAGTAACGTGGATATGAAACACACTTGGATTGTATCTTCATCGATGAAGAAAATACAATCATGCTTATTTAGTTTATCATTTATTGTTGAAAATGTCAACGCTAATGTATAATATTTGTAAAAGCATATCTTTAAAAAACATGAAATAAATTATGAAATATAAATTTCTGTAAAACATAGGATGGGGTGGCGAGTGTCAAGCCGTCGGTGCTCGCCAATAATATCACTCGTTGTTATGTCTGTTGCACTCCACTTTTATCCTTCCCACGGAGTGCAGGCTTAAGATATTCTTTATAGGGTGAATTAATTCGAGTGATGTTATTCATAGTGTGTGTGTGTGAGAGAATGTACGCGCACGTGCATGCTGGAAGACTGAATTGTTTGTGACTATTTTCAGTCTTTTGAATTTTAAATGAAAGTAATATGAATGATGTAGACAATGTGATGTAGTTTGAATTCAGATAATGCAACATTTACAAAATAAATGTGAAGCAAAACATCCTTTCTGGAATGATTTAAATGGATTCGAACTAACTTTGTACATTCCAGGTAATGTTTGTTGAAAGTTCATGTGCAGGCCACTGGTAGAAGTTTCTTTTGTATGGTACGTCTGGAGGCCACCCCACCTGTAGATGCTAATGCAGCTAGCCCTGTGGCACTGGGATACATTATTTAGAATATAAATACATTGTATGCTAGCTCACCTAGGCTTTAGTATAGGTTCACTAGTATAACATTTAGTGACATTGTACAAAACAAGTGCTGGGTATAGGCACTACTTAATATTTATTCCATCACCCAGGGTTGGTTGGATCTTTGTTGGACTCACTATTGTTTTTGTTAAAATGAATCCTTTTCAATTCTTCAAACATTTACAAGGGTGCTTGCATGGGGATAAAAAAAAAAGTAAAAAAATAAAAAATAAAAAAAGGGGGAGGGTTGATATTTATGTTATGGGTGTGGAATTGGCCACTGGAATGGTAGGCATAACTATACCTGTCCATATGATGTTTCCTTAGTGCTCAAGAAGGATGAATAAACACCCTGTGTATTTCTTGTAGAAATTAGGAATATGCAGTGTTTCCAGATCATCCCATTTAGGTGTTGACATCGGCCACCACTTGTTACCCACCTCCACCCGCAGCTCTCGTGCTCATTTGTGTCTGTACACATCTGTGCGTGTGAGCATGTGTACATTGTGTGCATGCATGCACTGCAGTTACACATGTGAATGTTTATGCATGAAGTGCACTTGATTGTATGACTGGCCATTGTACAGAGTAGTTGGTATCATACTACTGAGGAAGATACTGATTGGTGTTAAGTTTTATGTCTGTTGACCTGTCTTTCCCTATGGATATAACCCAGTTTCAACGTAAAGAAACCTCTTTGCTAGAGAGAACTTGACAGTATTTCATGGTGTTACAGAACAGTAGTTGCTAAGGCAGTCACCTTCATCCAATAACCTTGTGGTCTATGAGCAATAGTAGTTGTCCAGTATGTCTGTTGCTGGCTTATATAGGCCCCAGAACCTGGCAGTAATCCACATATTTAAATATTGTCCAGATAAAAAGCATGTGAATCCCTGGCAATGGGCTATCCATGGGAAAATGCAGTTCTACCTGCTACACCTGTTTAACTCTCAACATTTGTGCTTAGTCAGGACAAATCATCATAACCTTTTGTATATAAAGCAACCCCAGTAGTGCAAACAAAAATAAAACTATCAAACAATCTTACCTTTTATTTTATAAAATTACTCCAAACAAAATACTTAGGCAAATCTGTAGTAAAGCAAAGTCTACTTCAACACTAGTATTCCGATGACAAGCTATTCAACATTTTGCGAATTGATCGCAAGCCATCCACATTTTTTGCCTGTAAAAAAAAAGTGATAAGACACATTGCATTGTAATACTGTGCATAAACTAGCATGTGCACATCACTAACATTTCTCAAATTTTACTTTAGGAGGATACCGTGAATGGAAGCCTTTAAATAACCTTAACTAAACAATTGGTAATGTCTTGTCCCTTATAGACATGACCAAAAGAAGGCACCAAGCCGGGAAGACTATGTAGCACCACGAATCTCGCAAGAGATTCAAAAGCCACTAAATTTCTCAATACGAGAAAAGTGCATAAGGCGAGCGATATCAAAGGTATTTGATTCACCACGGACTCTATCGAGGGACATTAGGCAAGCAATATAAATGATCATCAGGACATTCTGCAAGGTGGTGCACAACTAAGTGGAAGAATGTAGTTTGGACAACAATGGACCATGTCCCTTCTCTTTAAGTGCCCATTAGTTAAGCATGTATTGCCAATATGTAACCTAGCCAAAGCTGTTTCCCCCTATTACAGTGGTAGGAGGAAGGCCAAGGGTATAAATTACCTTTAAGTGTGCAGTTTGTTACCTATAACACCTCTCCAACAACCCTGCCAATCATCTCGGACCATGGAATGAATGACTGGGTAGAAATCTGAATAAAGAATTCCTTTTTTGGGGAAAATGGGACAAGTGCAGATGGCCGCCTTTGCAGCAGTGTCCATTTAAGATAACACCAATATGACTGGGAGCCCAGCAAAACTCAATTGCTTTTAATCGGTTAGAGATAAGAAACAGCCAATAATGGACTTCGGCCACCAAAGGATGCAAAGGGTTAAATGACTCTACAGCCATAAGGGCACTGAGTCAACCACAATGACAAACAAACATTGACATTACAAAAACAGGTGATAAGAGCATACAAAATTGCATAAAGTTCCACCATGCAGATGCTAGTCTCCAAGGGGAAGTAGCACATCCTGGTTTGATCAGGAAAGACAACAGAGTAGCCAACACTGTCTTTAACCCATCTGTGAATAGTGGAATGGAGTGGGAGTGCAAAGTGTTCAAGGAAAAGACATTTCAGAACAGTAGAAGGGGTATAAGCCTTCACCATGTGGGTCAAAGACTTGAAAAACTTTGCAAGTGGGACTCACCATGGGGGCAAGGATGGAACGACACAAGGAGAGATTGCAAATGTGACTCAAGAAAAGTGAGACATTCTTACAGAAATAGGAAGGTGGTGAAATGGAATAGAGCCCACCTGAGGGGCAACAGTCCAAGCATGGCATAAGCAAAAGATGAGTTGCTGCAGGGACCATGCAAGGAAGTGAAGGCAGTAATGATCACAATGATAATGTAGAGACAGCATGCCAGTTTTAATACACAAGCTCTAGGTAGACGAATGAAAGGCACCAGAGTTGAGGCATATTTCAGTATGGTGCAGAGCATCAAGACAAGGAAGGGATAAAGGAAAGGCAGAAAATTAGATAGAGCAGCCATAATCAAGTTTAGACAGCACAAGAGAGGAAAGCAAATAAAGGAGTCTGCATCTATCAGTTCCCAGGAAGTAAGGACAAGACTAAGGGCCTTAGAGCATTCAACTCGGAGGTAAGAGATATAAGGTCACCAAGATAAACAAGTGTCAAAGACTAACCCCCATAAGTTTAATCTTTATACAGAAGGGATTACTATAGTGTAACAATGGGGAACAAAGAACAACATGCTTCCAGGTAAAAGTCATAGCATAAGTCTTAGTCATAGAGAAATTGAAGCCATGATTAGTGGCTTAGGACTACACTTTATCAATTACAAGATGGAACTGGTGATGGAGGAAAGGGAAGTTTTCTCACCATGACAGGAGAATGAGAGATCCTCAACATCAGAGGTCCGTGGTTGTTCAATATCCTCCCAGCGAGCATAAGAAATATTGCCGGAACAACCGTGGACATCTTCAAGAGAAAACTAGATAGTTTTCCACAAGGAGTGCCAGACCAACCGGGCTGTGGTGGGTATGTGAACCTGCGGGCTGCTCCAAGCAACAGTCTGGTGGACCAAACTCTCACAAGCCAGAGTTTGGGGAATAGAAGAACTCCCAGAACCCCATCAAGCAGGTATAAAGCCCCTGTACAGTCTCAAATGACTGTACAGGGGAAGGAAAAAATGATGGAAATGTTTAAGCAGACACGGCTATCACAAGAGAGGAAAATAAACCTAAACAGGGAGATCGAAGAAATAGAGCAAACGTTGAAGCAAACATACGAGTCTGAGGAAATGGAATTGGAACAGACAGTTATACAAGAGATAAAGAAAAATCCAAAATATTTTTTCATATACCCAAAATCAAAAACCTCTACCAGTATTAGACCTTTAATTACAACCGAAGGTATGTACACAGAAGACAACAAAGAAATTAATGGAATTCTAAGAAGCCAGTATGAGGCTATGTTTAGCACACCAATAAACAACATGAAAATTGAAGATCCAGACAGTTTCTTTATGAATGACATCCAAGCTGCAGATAATATTACGGATATTAACACAGTTAATCTTAGAGGTTAGATTTTGTAAATAAAGTTGCTTAAGAACTGGATGCTTTTTAAAGTTACTCATAAGACAGAATATGATTTGGGTGCCTTAATGAAACATAAAGCTGCAATTAGTTCATTGTGTGGGGTCAACATGTAAACTAGGCAGAAACATTTCCCACTTTGTTTCAGTGGCAGGAGGAAGGCCATGGTAATAGGTCACATTTGACAGTACTGTATGTAGTTTGTCATTGATAATAGCTAACCATCTATCTCTGTGACATATGCCATATGAATGTCTGAGATAGGAATCTGGAACTAATGTTTCAGGAACAACCATCACTTAGCTTAAGTGTGAAGCAAAGAACAAGCCCTGTCAGAGGTATCAGGTTCCTGAGGCTCTAATGTGTGCACTCACCTTGCGGGGGTTGAGCTTTGGTTCTTTGGTCCCGCCTCTTAACTGGTGTATAGATTCTGGAGCCTATTGGGTTCTATCAAATATACATTTGAAACTGTATGGAGTCTGCCTCCACCAAATCACTGCCTAATGCATTCCACTTAACTACTCTGACAGTGAAAAAATTCTTTCTAATGTGTCTGTGGCTCATTTGGGTACTAAGCTTCCACCTGTATCCCCTTTTTTGTGTTTCACCTATACTAAATAGTTTATCTTTGTCCGCCCTGTCAATTCCCCAAAGATTTTTGTAGTGGTGATCATGTCTCCCCTAACTCTTCTGTTTTCCAGGAACGTGAGGTTTAGCTCCCTTAGCCTTTCCCCATAGCTCATACCTATCAGTTCTGGGACTAGTCTGATGGCATACCTCTGATCTTCTCTCTGTCTTGTGTTTAACTAGATATGGACTCCAGGCTCTAGGTATGTGTGAAAGGCTATGAGAGATACTTAACTATAATGCAGCAGTTAGGGACGCAATATACATACAGAATGTATAGGAGACAAAGAAATTAATACACACTTACATATTTGTCAGATGAGCTTAAATCTTTTCTGTTTGATAAATTTATTACGGCTCTTGTCTGCTCAATAACCAATTCATATCCATATTTTTCATTTTGCCCACTTTCTTCTCCTTGGATCTTCAACACCCACGGACACCAATGACGGTGTTCTTCTAGAGGATGGAAATACCGCTTCTTCTCACTCTATAGGAAAAATAAATGGTTCAGAATAAAAAGGCATGAAATTCAATGTGCTTATGACCTAAAAAGAAGTTCAGGCATATTAACAAATACCAGCAGGGAAATGAGAAACAGTTTGTCAAATGTAATACAAATAAAATCACAAATATTTACAAAAACTGTAGAAGCTCGATAATCCGGAGCACGCCAATCCAGAAAACGCCCTAATCCGGCAAAAATCATGGCCGGATAAAGTATCCGGCCATGATTTCCCTATCCTTACAGAATAGAATATCCCTATCCTATCCATAGAAGCCGAATTACAGGATATTTGGCTAGATCAGCGTATACTGTTAAAGTTAAAATCTGATCCGGTTAACTTCCTACCGATGTTGCCCAATCCGGACAAGTGGAGATTATTCTGGATCAGAAAGTCAGGTCAGACACAGGGCCGTACCGTATTAATCCCACACAACTGTGGCTCCAGGTGCTTGGTGTAGGAGGTGCTGGGGTGGGTGGGTGATGTCGGGAGAGAAGGAAGAGTTGGGAGGGAGTGCCTGGGGAATAAGGGGCATGCAGAGGGGCCTATACAGTACAATAATTACCAATACTGTAATTTTAGAACAATTCATCACAGTCAATAACAAAATAAATATTTTATAATACAGTACTGTATTATAACGAATACAAGTTTCTTAAAAAACAATTTGCACAGGTTGAAGTTTGCTCCTAAAATATTGGGAGATTTTTTCCCTGCCTGGCGGCCTACGTAACGTGCCTGCTTGCCCGAAGTGGAGCCGTCCAAGCCTGGTCAAGCCAAACAGCCCATGTGTTGCAGACCCTTGTGTTATACGACAGTGCCACGCCATTAGTGAAATATTTTTTTAAATAACTTTTTTGTTTTCATAGTAACATTGATAATTTTTAGCCAAGACTATGTCTGGTAGCAGCATCAATCGTTCTGGAGGTGTTAAGAGGAAGAAGGTTACCCTAACAATTACGGACAATTCATGGATACACAGATAATACCTCTTTTATGTGTGGTGATGGTGATCCAGTAATTAACGGAGGAAATTCATCTTTAGTATCGTGTGCTTCATTTACTCCATTGCTGTCATATTTCTTGGTTCTCGGCTTTTTTTTTTTTCGTGTATTATGCTCACTAATATTTTGTTTATTTAGAGTCTCTTCATTTCCCTGTTCAATAACACGCTTTCCTCTCAAGCGTTTAAACCACTTTGATGAGGGTCTATCATCATCGGTAGCTTTTGTGTCAATGCCACTCTTTTCTTCTCCAACTTCATTTTCTTTGCTAGGTAACTTTAGAGTTTTTTGACCTGGTTCAGTCACCTCTGATACTGCATTTTCGACATTTTTCACTTCATCAGCTCTGGTAAAGAAGCTCCAAAGCCCGACTGACCGTCTGCAAACTCTGCACCTAAAAAAATATATTTAACGTAAATTAAATTGTTTAATCTTGATACAAATAATGCTTAAATTGCATAATGACAATCAAAAAAGGCTTCCTAGGTTGCCAATGATTATTGGACAGTGTACAATCAGTCTGAGTTATAATGACTGATAGATAAATGGATGAAAGGATATAACAAGAGAGACATTAATACTGTATGGTGCTAAATAAAGTATAGACAAAATAACACATGAAACAATAAATACAAATTGGACAATTCGAGATTAAGAAAAGACCCTTCTAAATTCCAACTTGGAAAAAGGGTTGGATTGTTTTAAGTGTAGGTTAGACATAAATGCAGTGGTTTGGTTAGGAATAAATAAAAGCTGCCTTTTCAATATATTCTATGCTTACCTTACCTATCAGTGAGTATATATTTTCATGTTCTTATTTTTATAGTGCAAGATTGGCACAATACAGGAAGAGGGAACAAAATACAGTGAGCTGAGAACAGCATATTTCTAGTCACCTTTTATACAGACAACTTTATCCTATAACTAGTGGAAGCAGTCAGCTGGGTTTAAAAAATGAGAGATGCCACCTTGGAACTCAACACAAGTTCCAGCATCAGCGACAGCAATTTTCATGTATATCTGCACTAAAGTTCCTACAGTTTAGACCAATTGGCAAGCAACTGCTTCACACGCTGCAGGAAGTGACAGACATTGGCAGGCTGTCTCTCCTAATAGTAAATAGTTGTGCATCAGCTAAGTGTATCAAATATAAATCACATTTATTAAAGCCCAGAAGATATAGGCTTTCATTTCAGGTTACGAGTTTGTTGATATGCGTACAGGCCGACGTGTTTGGGAGCCAGAGGCGCATGCGCCACCCATGGTTGCTCATTCAGTACTAACCCAGCCAGCAGCCCTAAGGCATTCTGGGAATTTTTTCCAAGATGGCTGCCTCTCACTGGAGATCCTAAGAGTCCATTTCGTACACAACCAACCTCGCACACATTTAGAATGGGCACAGAAAAATAAAAAAAAGAGTTTTCTCGGTTGGCGCAGTTTCCTGCCGACCGAGAATACTCGGCTGGAGCAGTTAAATGGTTAACAAGTACCTGAGGTAGGCTCCTTCCCCATGAGACCATCCAGACAGTACAAGAACAACCGACGATATCTTCACTTCTTCATCTGCAGTGCTGCATGTAAACACTCCCTTAATAAAATCGTCATCCAATTTCTAAGGGTGGAAAAATAACTAAACTACTGAACATGGTTTAGTATATAGGAAAACATTATAAATCTAAATTCAATAAGACATGAAGAGAAAACAACATACAAGCAAGTATAGTATAATAAGAGTATGTGGAAATTATGATCACAATGTCATTCTCCAAAATCAAATACCCATATGCCAATGAAGTACCATGCATACTAGCTTAAATTCAAAATTTTCAGTTTAAATTTTGCATCAATAATTTTGTTTATATTACAAATATAGAATCACTATCAAGAAAATGCTATTGAGAGTGAGACAGAGGCAGGGCTATATTATCTGTTGTAGTGACTGTCAAAGTGTATGTAAGTGAATTTCTGGAGCACTGGTAAAGGTCATAGAACACAAGTAAGATCTTGATACCATTCAATACCTTATGAACATGCACTAGTTAAGCAATGATATGATATGACAACTGCTTGCCCAAAATGTTGTGCATATTAGTGGCTTTAAGCACAGCATGTACTAGCACTATCTACAAATCAAACATTCTTTTTATAACTCATTTTTAATGTATATATGTATTTTTACCTGGATAAACATTATCATTATCATATTGGTCATTACATAACCTTTAATGAAACATAATCTGCTAAACTTTAAAGTGATGTTATGAATTATAGATGAATAGAATCTGTTTTCATTACCATATACTGTACATTTGTTCATCAAAATAATGTTTTTTTTTTGTATTACCTACACCCACTTGCCCAGCTGTTGGTTGGCAACAATTGCTGTTCATCTAACATGTTACGTCCAGCACTCTGCTGCCTAAGTTACACAAGACTCACTGTACTCATTCCGTTATTCCAGAATTTGCATCAGATAAATGTTGAATAAACTGTCCCTGCTCTGCACTTGCCCTTTTCCTTTACAATATTTTCACATTCTACACTTTGATAATTTATCTGAATTTACCTGAGGGCCACTAACACTCTAGTGGCCTCGACAGAGACAGGAAGCCGGTGGCTTATCAAAGGTTCCCCCCCCATTTGCCCTGATGATTTTTTTTTCAGATGGATTTTAAAGTTTAACAGAGTTTTGGCATTTACGGCTTCGGTGGGTAGGCAGTTTCATGGGTTTATTACCCTGTGGGTGAAAAAGCATCTCCTGTTTTTCGTCTTGCAAGCCGGTCGAGCCGGTCGGCCGAGCGGACAGCACGCTGGACTTGTGATCCTGTGGTCCCGGGTTCGATCCCGGGCGCCGGCGAGAAACAATGGGCAGAGTTTCTTTCACCCTATGCCCCTGTTACCTAGCAGTAAAATAGGTACCTGGGTGTTAGTCAGCTGTCACGGGCTGCTTCCTCGGGGTGGAGGCCTGGTCGAGGACCGGGCCGCGGGGACACTGAAGCCCCGAAATCATCTCAAGATAACCTCAAGATAAGATTGCATTGTGGTTTGCTGAGCTTGAAACCGTTGCTCCTTGTTTGTGTTACATCTGATCTTTTCAAGAAATTGTCTGGATAAACTTCCTCCAAATCATTCAGTATTTTAAAGGTTTTGATGAGATCCATCCTGTCATGCCTGGTTTACAGTGTAGTTAGCCCTGATTTAAACCAGCAAATAGAAGAGGCAACTAGGAAAGTAAAAACCCAGATCTTATTTTTACAAACAACGATGAGCTGATTAGGAACATAATAATTACAACTTCTTGTTACTCAGATCACAACCTGATCAAAGTTCAGACAAGCATGGGCAATAGACCTGTGCAGCCAATTTCAAATCTAAGGAGGAGAATTCAGCAAATTCAATTTTAATAACAAAATGATTAACTGAACGAATAAACCAAGACCTCACAGAATAATGCTGGGAAGAACAACTATATAATACATGTTGACCAGACCACACACTAGAAGGTGAAGGGACGTTGACATTTCGACACAATTGACTTGAGAATGGTCCAGGACGGACCGAAACGTCGTCGTCCCTTCACCTTCTAGTATGTGGTCTGGTCAACATACTTCAACCACGTTATTGCAACTACATAATACAGTACAGTGCTTCGAGAAAATAGGCACAGTAGCACCAGAAATATGTAGATGGCATATACCACTAAGAAAAAAGAAAAAGATGCAAATTGGAATAAGAATGGCGCTTCCTCTATAGGCAAAGAAAACAAATAGCAGAACATCTCAAATGCTCCACTCTATCCCAACAACGACGAGGAAGGCTATGTAAGAAAATAGCCCTATTAACAAAATAATTAAATAAATGCATCTAGCATTGAGCCCTTGCACAAGGGTAATAATAATAAAATTAACAGCTACATTCAGACCTGGAGAAATTGCTGACCTAGAGAGCATGCAAAAATACTTTACTGCTAGAATCTACTCTATAAGTCATCTTAATTATTGGGACCGATTAAAAAATCTAAACTTGTATTCTCTAGAGCGCACGCGAAAGATACATAATAATCTACATATTGGATATTAGAGGGACTGGTTCCAAATCTGAACACAGAAATAACATCACATGAGATCGATAGGCATGGCAGGATGTGCAAAATACCCCATTGAAAAGCAGAGGTAGGTCCCTGGGTATTGGCCTCCCTCAAGCACCCGACAACCACCACACCCCCCTTCGAGAGCGCCTCCACCCAGTGAAACGATAAATACTAATTTATTTTTGCCTTTTTCTTACATTTTGCATACAAATTTATAAGTCTATAATGATTTTTTTTTTTTTTTGTGCACTGGCAGATTTGACCATTTCCCCATAGCCACTGTTAAGGGTTAATCAGTGTGATAGCTTCAGGAAGCTGATGGGGCTCCCCACAGAAACAATACTGTAGTTAAATTTAAAAAAATACATAAAAGTTAAACCAGAAAATATTACTTTCACTCATTAATAATCCCATAACACACTCACTATCTTCTTACCAATGTCTTCATTAGTGTGCTTTGATCAATATGTGGCAAGGCTGAGTTAAAAGCAGCCAAACTGACTGCAGAGTTTGTCAAGTTGTGTAGCTCTTCAACAGTAGTAACACAAGGAGGTTGGGTCAGCTCCTCTGGACTGGGATCATGAATCCATCCACAGGCTTCCTTATGACTTTTTAAAAGACGACTTCTTAGTAAATTTAAAAACGTTTTGCCTGTGGGCCAAAAGAAAAAACATGAAAGAAACCTGGTACAGTAATTTTCTATAAATAAAAAAGTAAACCAAAATAATCGTTACTAAAGACAAAAAATATTTAATGTTCAAGAGTCAACTCTCCATTTTCCAGATAAATGGGATCAAACCTAGTCAGCCAATTATGGTGAGTATATGTAACAGTTATGCATCTGTACTGGGTGAGAGCTCTCAACACATTAACTCTTAAACTGTTCCCTTCAAGAGATTGACTGAAGAGGCTTCCATTGTCTGTGGATGATTGAACATACTTTGTAATATTCAATGTTTCTAAAGGGTCTATGCAGTTGCCATTTGAAACTAGACCTCTGGCAATCATTTGCCATATTGGGACAATATTCTAAAAGCCTTAGTTATCTTCCTGAGCATTATTAAACAAATTTGCACCATCCATTTACTGATGTCTATACTCACGTAAGTGAGTATAGAATGAAGCTAGCTGTACTACCTGGTGTACTACCAAGGATTCCCAAAGACTTGGCAAGCATCAAAGCTCTGGACACTACTAATCTTTTATAGAATATCTCTTTAATTTGATTTATGTCCTAACTTTTGCAATACAGCACTGTATACATATTAACCATTTTTTTTTAGTCCACCAAGAACATCAATAACTCTTAAATTTCCTGAAACCCACCAACTATACCTTAATCTTCATGATTTTCATCCCTCCCTCAACAATGCATTAAATGGTTTTATAATCTGCCACCAGGTGGCTACATGGTCAATAAAAGTTGGGAACTTCCTTGCACCACCATATGACAGTACACAGACATTCTGCAGATAACACAGATAAAATTAACATTGCAACAGAGCAGAAATTGGAAACGCTAGTTTATAAATACTGTAGTTTAATATTTGTCAAGAACATAATATAACTAACGTGCATCCTGGTCAACAGGGTTAGGTAGGGCAGCGCACACAACTTCTCGGCAAGTGACACACTGAAGGATGTCCTTCTCTATTATGTGCCAACCCCATCTGGCACATTCAAGTGGGCTCACTTCTAACACATTCCATAGTCCTGGTTGAAAGGATTCCACACGGCTACAGAATGCCTCGTAATTCTGAGGCTGAGTCTTGGATGAGCTTGTAATATTACAGTTTGGATTTGTTTTATCATCATTCCTGTCAAGCAAAAATAAGTGTAAATTACAGACAATAGAAGCAATAAATCCTTAAACAAAGATCAGTGACCGTTAGGCCTTAGGCTAATTAATAATACTGTATAAAGAAATGCTGTCAATGTTTAATGCACAAAAAACCAGCGTTGAATGTAATGAAACGCCATTTTCTGGGTAAGCCCCGGAGGCTCCCTGGAGCTTATCGGGCTAATTATGGAGTTCAAACCTACCAGGGACCAGAGAGCCGGTCAGCCGAGCGGACAGCACACTGGACTTGTGATCCTGTGGTCCTGGGTTCGATCCCAGGCGCTGGCGAGAAACAATGGGCAGAGTTTCTTTCACCCTATGCCCCTGTTACCTAGCAGTAAAATAGGTACCTGGGTATTAGCCAGCTGTCACGGGCTGCTTCCTGGGGGTGGAGGCCTGGTCGAGGACCGGGCCGCGGGGACACTAAAAAAAAAAAAAAAGCCCCGAAATCATCTCAAGATAACCAGAGCCAGAATCTGGCTCCCTAAAGAGAGGTTTCAGGGAGCAATGGCCCTGGAAAAAACCCCGTGGTTGGGGGATTTCCTTATCTGCCATCGACCGGGGTTCATCGTCCAGAGTCCCGAACTTCTGGCACAGCCAACTGAAGGAGTCGGCATCGACCACCCATTCCATGGAAAGGGGAAGGAAACGAAACAGGCCGTCCACCAAGACGTTGGACACCCCCAGACATGAAACGCGATACTTGGATTGACCCATCCCATAGTTGGGTCTGATTCCAACAGGGGTTCGAATAATTATACTTAGGTAATTACACACATCCCAGGAAGTAGCCGTCTAACTCCCAGGTACAAATTTACTACTGCGTGAACAGGAGCATCAGGGTGAAAAACTCTGCCCATTTGTTTCTGCCTTGGCTGGAGGATCAAACCCGGGCCCCTTAGGACTACGACCGAGCGCTGTCCACTCAGCCGTGAGGCCCCACGCGGTGTCACATGGAGAGAGAGGGGACACAGTGTCACATGGAGAGGGCACTGTGTCAGCCTGGGAGGAGAGGATGTGTTACCTGGAGGGAGAGGAGGCTGTGTCACCTGGAGGGAGAGAGGAGGATGTGTCACCTGGAGAGAGAGGATGCTGTGTCACCTGGAGGGAGAGAGGAGGATGTGTCACCTGGAGGGAGAGGAGGCTGTGTCACCTGGAGAGAGAGGATGCTGTGTCACCTGGAGGGAGAGGATGCTGTGTCACCTGGAGGGAGAGAGGAGGATGTGTCACCTGGAGGGAGAGAGGAGGATGTGTCACCTGGAGAGAGAGGATGCTGTGTCACCTGGAGGGAGAGAGGAGGATGTGTCACCTGGAGGGAGAGGAGGCTGTGTCACCTGGAGAGAGAGGATGCTGTGTCACCTGGAGGGAGAGAAGGCTGTGTCACCTGGAGTGAGAGAGGAGGCTGTGTCACCTGGAGGAAGAGGATGCTGTGTCACCTGGAGGGAGAGAGGATGCTGTGTCACCTGGAGGGAGAGAAGGCTGTGTCACCTGGAGGGAGAGAGGATGCTGTGTCACCTGGAGGGAGAGGATGCTGTGTCACCTGGAGGGAGAGGAAGCTGTGTCACCTGGAGGGAGAGAGAAGGCTGTGTCACCTGGAGGGAGAGAGAAGGCTGTGTCACCTGGAGGGAGAGGATGCTGTGTCACCTGGAGGGAGAGGATGCTGTGTCACCTGGAGGGAGAGGATGCTGTGTCACCTGGAGGGAGAGGATGCTGTGTCACCTGGAGGGAGAGGATGCTGTGTCACCTGGAGGGAGAGAGAAGGCTGTGTCACCTGGAGGGAGAGAGAAGGCTGTGTCACCTGGAGGGAGAGGATGCTGTGTCACCTGGAGGGAGAGGATGCTGTATCACCTGGAGGGAGAGGATGCTGTGTCACCTGGAGGGAGAGGATGCTGTGTCACCTGGAGGAAGAGGATGCTGTGTTACCTGGAGGGAGAGGATGCTGTGTCACCTGGAGGGAGAGGAAGCTGTGTCACCTGGAGGGAGAGAGAAGGCTGTGTCACCTGGAGGGAGAGAGAAGGCTGTGTCACCTGGAGGGAGAGGATGCTGTGTCACCTGGAGGGAGAGGATGTTGTGTCACCTGGAGGGAGAGGATGCTGTGTTACCTGGAGGGAGAGGATGCTGTGTCACCTGGAGGGAGAGAGAAGGCTGTGTCACCTGGAGGGAGAGGATGCTGTGTCACCTGGAGGGAGAGGATGCTGTGTCACCTGGAGGGAGAGGATGCTGTGTCACCTGGAGGGAGAGGATGCTGTGTCACCAGGAGGGAGAGAGAAGGCTGTGTCACCTGGAGGGAGAGGATGCTGTGTCACCTGGAGGGAGAGGATGCTGTGTCACCTGGAGGGAGAGGATGCTGTGTCAGCCACAGAGGCGAGGAGGGCGAGTATCCTGTGGTGGTGGTGGTGGTAGAGGGCGGCCATGAGTGGTGAGGGCAGGGAGACGCGGGTGACCCGGGCCGCCGGGTCTGTGTTGACTGTTGCCTGGTCACGTGACCCACCGCGCCGACCCCCTCCTCCACTCCCTGCTTCTCAACTCTTTACAAAACCTTCATATATCCTACCATGGCGCCATGAACCCTTCCTTCAATAACTCTAAGCCTAGCACCCACCATAAACATTTATTTGGCCTCCAGGGGTTCCCTGCGGTATCGGCCTCCTCTCAAATATGCGTCGAGGACATTTAACAAAGGCACAGTGTTGGAACGTATCTGTTTTGTCGTGGCGGTGGAGAGGGCTGGGTCTGCTATCTGCTGTTTTTACAGCAAGATATGGACCAGAAAAAGAGTCCTAGCAGGTTAGTAGCTTCTCTGGGGCATTGGGCATGTGTGGTATTTCCAGCAGCGTTGCAGAGCAAGGCGATCAGCCGCCCCGTTGGGTGTTAATAAGGGTGGAGAGAAGAGTTTCGTCAATGACGTTTGTGACAAAGGGGATTGACCCAAGATTGGCAGAGACCAGTGGCTGGAGACGGCCTCCTCCTCCTCGCCTTCTGCCTCGCCTCCTCCTGCTGCCTCGCCTCCTCCTGCCTCGCCTCCTCCTGCACTAGACATTCACACTCCTGACGCACTTGCTCATTGCTCCCTCACACTTGATCAACTACAGTACGCGCTAACTCAATGTGTTCCTTGAAATCTGATTTGTGATTCTCGTCTCGTGTGTAAATCTTAAAATCAACATAATTGAAAGATTTCCTGTCATGAATAATTAATTTTGTTTTACCACCCCTCCTATTCGTGGTATCTTATGTGATTTTGCTAACAAAAATAACTAGCCGCTGTTTGGAGTCATTTATTCCTTGGTTGTTATTGTTGAGAAGATTTGAATGGAGGCAATATGATGAGTGTGTATCATGGGTCACGTCAGTATGATGAGTGTGTGTGTCACAGGTCATGTCAGTATGATGAGTGTGTGTCACAGGTCATATCAGTATGATGAGTGTGTGTCACAGGTCACATCAGTATGATGAGTGTGTGTGTGTCACAGGTCACGTCAGTTTGATGGGTGAGTGAGTCACGGGGTCATGTAAGTATGATGAGTGTGCGTGTCACAGGTCACATCAGTATGATGAGTGTGTGTGTCACAGGTCACGTCAGTATGATGAGTGTGTGCCACAGGTCACGTCAGTATGATGAGTGTGTGTGTCACGGGGTCATGTAAGTATGATGAGTGTGTGTGTGTCACAGGTCACGTCAGTTTGATGAGTGAGTGAGTCACGGGGTCATGTAAGTATGATGAGTGTGTGTGTCACAGGTCACATCAGTATGATGAGTGTGTGTGTCACAGGTCACGTCAGTATGATGAGTGTGTGCCACAGGTCACGTCAGTATGATGAGTGTGTGTGTCACGGGGTCATGTAAGTATGATGAATGTGTCACAGGTCACATCAGTATGAGGAGTGTGTGTCACAGGTCACGTCAGTATGATGAGTGTGCGAGTCACTGATCACGTCAGTATGATGAGTGTAATTACCTAAGTGTAGTTACAGGATGAGAGCTACGCTCGTGGTGTCCCGTCTCCCCAGCACTCTTTGTCATACAACGCTTTGAAATTACTGACGGTCTTGGTCTCCTCCACCTTCTCACCTAACTTGTTCCAACCGTCTACCACTCTGTTTATAACAGTGAATTTTCTTATATTTCTCCAGCAGCTTTGTTTTGTTAGTTTAAATGACCTCTTGTTCTTGAAGTTCCAGGTCTCAGGAATGCTTCCCCATCAGTTTTATTGATTCTTATTACTATTTTATTCGTAGTGATCATATTGCCTCTTTGTCTTCTATCTTCAAGTTTTTGCATATTTAATGCCTCTAACCTCTCCTCGTAGCTCTTGTCCTTCAGTTCTGGGAGCCACTTAGTGGCATGTCCTTGCACCTTTTCCAGTTTGTTGATGTGCTTCATAAGATATGGGCACCATACAACCGCTGCATATTCCAGCTTTAGTCTAACAAAAGTAGTGAACAATTTCTTTAGTATTTCTTCATCCATGTATTTAAAAGCAATTCTGAAGTTAGAAAGTGTAACATAGGCTCCTTGCACAATGTTCTTAATGTGGTTCTCAGGTGACAGTTTTCTATCTAGAACCACCCCTAGATCTCTTTCTTTATTAGAATTCTTTAAAGATTTCTCACATAATTTATAGGTTGTGTGGGGTCTAAGTTCTCCAATTCCACATTCCATAACATGGCATTTATTCAAATTAAATTCCATTTGCCAAGTGGTGCTCCATATACTTATTTTGTCCAGGTCTTCTTGAAGGGCATGACAATCATCTAGGTTTCTTATCTTCCCTATTATCTTAGCACCATCAGTAAACATGTTCATATGCAGTAATTCTTTATTCCATCTGGTATATTGTTTATGTAGACAATGAACATTACCGGTGCAAGAACTGAACCCTGTGGTACTCCACTTGTAACATTCCTCCAATCCGATACATTGCCTCTGATTACGGCCCTCATTTTTCTATCAGGAAATTTTTCATCCATGTTAGAAGCTTATCTGTCACCCCTCCAATATATTCCAGTTTCCAGAACAGCCTCTTATGTGGAACTTTGTCAAAAGCCTTTTTTAGATCCAGATAGATGCAGTCAACCCAACCATATGTTTCCTGTAAAATCTCTGTGGCTTGATCATAGAAACTGAGTAAATTCGTTACACAGGATCTTCCAGATCAAAAACCATATTGTCTGCCTGATATTATATCGTTTTTCTCCAGGTGTTCTACCCATTTATTTTTAATTACTTCTTTCCAATATTTTGACTATTACACTTGTCAATGATATTGGTCTATAATTGAGGGGTCTTCCCTGCTGCCACTTTTGTAGATTGTAACGATGTTAGCCTTTTTCCACACATCAGCTACAACTCCTTTACACAGGGATGCCTGAAAAATCAGTTGAAGTGGAATGCTGAGCTCAGATGCACATTCTCTCAGAACCCATGGTGAAACTCCATCTGGACCAACTGCTTTGTTCTTACTTAGCTTCTTGAGCATTTTTTCCCACTGTGTCTCTAGACATCTCTATGTTGCTCTCTGGAATTCTTATTGTGTCTGGTTCCCTGCAGATTTCATTTTGTACAAACACACTTTGGAACTTTTTGTTTAATGTTTCACACATTTCCTTTTCATTTTCCATGAATCTATTTCCCATTTTCAACCTCTGAATATTATTCTTTACCTGTAATTTGTTGTTTATGAATTTATAGAATAGACCTGGTTCTGTTTTACATTTGTCCTCAATCCCTTTTTCAAAATTTCTTTCTGCTTCTCTCCACACTGCCGTGTAGTTGTTTCTCGCATCTTTGTATCGCTGGTATGTTTGGAGGTTTGGCCTCTTCTTATATTGATTCCATTTTTGTGTCTTGGTCTCTGGCCCTCTTGCAATTCCTGTCAAACCAATCCTGTTTCCTAGTTCTGCATCTCTGCTTTGGTATAAATTTTTTTGTGCTTTTATCATATATGTCACAAAACTTGACATACATCTCATTTACTTCATGTCCTAACAGCAAGTCTTTCCAGTCAAATTCCTTAAAGAGATGTCTGAGTTCCCCGTAACGACCTCTTTTGAAATCAGGCTTTTCAACTGCTTCAACCTCATTTTCTTCAAGATTGTAACGCATTGCATACTTTATTCCCCAAAAGACATGGTTACTTTTACCCAAGGGAGGGAAGTACCAACTGTCAAATGTCTCTAACTCTTTCCTAGTAAATATAAAATCCAGCATGGAGGGAACATCCCCTTCTCTCATCCTTGTAGCTTGTTTAAATCTCGCAAAACAAACTAAATGTGTGTCTAAACTAGGTAGGTATACAGCTTAAAACCTTTAGTGTTATTATAAAAGAAAGTTTGTTCAATATATAAAATAAGAAGTTACTGTAGGTGATCATTAAAAAAGTTTTGCTTAATATAATTATGCTGTAGAGACTACAGGTCTTACTTTGGAACTTTTAAGATTAGGACAAAATATAAAGGCAATTACAGTACTGATAAACTAAAATATTTATTTGAGAATATTGGTCCATGTACATTTCAAAAGCCAATTATGCCATGTGAAAGCAAAGGTCACTTTCAAATCCACAGCTTCTATACCTTAATGAATTAATATTATTGACATTGAAGGTTACTGATATTACACTGACAGTTTAATGCAGAGTGTCTGCTGTGGTGCAGCATAGTGTAATATAAGCATCCCTTGATCTGTGGCAGGGTTATATACCTGATAAACCTCATACTGAGTGAACTTAACTTTTAGAAAAATAAGCATGACTCCAGAGGCTTCTCTGCCTGGCTTAATATTCTATCTTGGGCTCTGCTTATCTCCTCTTAGTCCCTTCATATTCCCTGTGTGCATTTCTACCCGGATTGTCTTTGCCTTCAGCCTATTCTGCCTAGACATATCCTGGCCATTGTACACCTCATTGTATTCTCCTCATTCCAACAGTTTTCTCATTTCTACACTTACCTGTATGAACTGTAGTTCACCAGGTTACTGTTTTGAGAAGTTACTCTCGATGGTTAATTTCATCCATTCTGAATGCTCCCTATTTTTCAGAAGTTTTCTTTCTTCCATGGTTGTCTCATTTCCTTGCACCTTGTTTTAACACTTTCGCGCTTTCGATTAGAGATAACTCGTCACTGGTTTTTCTTACGATTCCGCATAACTGCCTACTTTTCTCGTCAATCGAAAAAATATTTCTATAAATTCCATTTTTTAACCGAAATGGATGGGGATACTTTTGTTTTGTAGAGAATTTATTTGCGAATTTTTTGGTACCAGAATGAATATTATATCACATAAACTTCTATGAGTAAAAAAAAGAATACACAAAGTATGTTTGGGGGTGTGGCGAGCGTGTGGCAGTGGGTTCCCTTTAGCCGTTGATATATCCAACACGTGGGAAATATTTGTATGTGTTATGTATATGTCTGTGTAGGGAATTTTACTGCGATCACTGTCATACAAATTATAAAATGTTTCAACAAGTATAAACATGACAAACATCAAACGAACGAAAACAATGCGTTCGTTTCTGCCGCGAACGCATACTGAGCGACGTGGTTCTATATTTGGCGCTTCTCTTACACATGCTTTGTACAAATGTTATACAGTTCATCTTATAGAAAATTTTATTGCGAACACATTGGTATAAAAAAGAAATACGTACATAGAAAAGTAGGGTCAGGAAACGTATAAACTTTCCAAGCATGATTTCCCCCCTGTGTTTTCGCCAGTGCGCTCGCGGCTAACTACTCTCCACTTCACACACTCTTGCGGGTGGGCAATTACCTATATTAAACATTCATATGCATATGTCCGTGTAGAGAATTTTATTGCGATTCCAATGATACCAATATTATCGATGTAGGACAACTGTAGGCTTCGCAACCATTAAGAGAGTGGAAACATTTTGTTGCTGTTTGGCGCTCTCGGCGAGTGATCTGCATAGTTTTTTATTTGGTGTTGATTCTCCTTATGCTTGGGCGGCATTTTATAGGTATGCTCTTATAGACAATTTCATTGCGAACACAGTGATACCAAATTTAAATACGTGCGCCTTCAATTATTGTCAGGACAGTCAAAAGAGTGTACACTTTTTCGGTCTTACCGCGTAGGCGCGCGAAGTGCCGAAAGCACCTGGGGTATTGTTTTTTTTTGAGCGCCGAGAGCGCGAAAGTGTTAATATTCTGGTCAGCTCTTTCAAGTCTCCCTTTCTTAGCTTTTGTCTCCCTCTGGTTGTTCGGTTGAAAATGATCACAGATTTGCCCCTTTCCAGCTCTAGTTCCTTTCATAACCTGCTTTTTTTTCTTTTTTCTTTATTTACTTTACACTTCATTGCTCTAGGCTTAAATTTGTACTCTTGAAAGCCTTTTCAAAAGTATCTTTTGAGTATTAATTGTTTCAAACCATTTGCCAATTCAAACCAAAGCTTTGGCTGAAACACTTTTCATAATAGTGGCTTCATTAGTATGTGGCCCTACATATTGTACATTAGTTATGTTCTTTCATGTACTTTGTACATACATTCTTCTAAATAAACATATTAATTATACAGTAATTCATAATTTTTTGAAAATTTTTGTTACAGTATACATACTGTATGTATAAAAGTTCATCTTTCTCAGAGTACTGAAACAGTTCTCTTCCCATGAATTTTACAATTGCTTTAAAGGGCTTATCTGTCTCCGTGTTTTCTTTGAGAGCTTGGTCCAACTTCAATAAGCTTTGCAAATGTGCCTATGAACAAGTTTGGAGTTATTTCCTTTATTATTATTAGTAGTAGGCAAGGCAACAAGTTTTTGTCTTATATTCTAAACCTGCAGTGTTTTGAGCACCAAAACCCTCTTAAAGTGTGCCAGAAGAAGAAATGTCAACTGCTGGTCAAAAAATTTTCAACTATGCTTCTGGGTTTGTTGAGTGATCTTATCCCATGCATGTACTGTATGGTATTCCATATTGCTGAATTTACATTGAAAGTTTTCATTAATTTCTTAACTTCGTTTTGTGCATGGTGGTATCTGGCAAACTAATTTCTTGATGTAACACAGATAATGCCTTCACCAAGAATAATGTAGGTTACTGCCAGTTGTCACATTATTAGTTACAGTATTTTGAATTGAGTGTGTTATCCTCTTTCAAGCTTTTTTCCCTACCCACACCCCTTTGTATTAAAAAAATGCAATGGGGTATATGTTACAAAATGTTTTTTACAGCCACAAAATATTGTATAGGACTATTCTTTTTTAAGCTTTATTATAATGTTAAACATGTTTTTACAACATCATATTAGCTATTTCATGATGCTGAAATACCAATGCAAATAAAGCATTTACCTTATTAAATTTGAGGAAGAAAAGTTATTGCAGTGTATTATTTCTGTACATTACTGTAGTTAAAACTGTGTTGTAAAGAAAATACAAATGTAACACTACTAAAGGTACTTGAAAGTGGATAATCATATTCTAATGGATATACCTTAAATATATTTTGTTTAGGATATTGCTAAGAAGTGAATAACAGGCATGACACTAATTGTTTTATTTTTTTAAAGTTTCAGAGCAAGTGTAAATGGGATAGGTCACAAGTAAGTGATAATCTTTATGTACAGTATACGAGTGCTATTGATGGCGGTATATTCAAACTTTGCTTTAGGGATTTTAATTTACTGTGTAGCATAAGATTTTTAAGTTCTATACAGTATATAAGAAAATGCATGAATGTATGCAAAACTGCTATAAAGATAGGGCTGGTGGAGAGTGTGCTGTAAATGCATTTTTGTGTTGCTTGCAGTTTTTCAGTGAAGCATGGAGGTTATTGGTGTTAAGTTGCACTTATGCATGTAAGACTGTCTTAACTGGAGAGTATAAGCAAGAATGAAAGATTAAATTTTAATGTGGTATTTTCTTTTCTACACTTCATCACTGATACATTAAGGAAAAACTTGAATTTCAAGAAAGAATCAGTCTTCTACCATTTCATAAATGTTCATAGTTTGTATCCTATGAGAAGGAGGTCTTTTTAATGACTCAACTTTGAAGCCATAACACTTAGTTCAATATACTGTATATAGATACAGTCCACAGTATTTTAATAGTGTATTGTCTTTCCATAATGTTTCAACCACAATAGATGTGTTCTAACTTGGATTAAATAGGTATAGACTTGTCATTTTTTTTATATACTGTACAGTTTATCAAGTGATACAAGTTATAAAAATGCACAATTTTTTATGTAACGTGGTTTACACTAAGTGGGATTTAGGTTTTAAGTCAGTTGGAACTGATTGGAGTAGATGATGTATTCACTAGGGAATGATGATCAGCTCATTTTTATCTAATAACACTAGGCCTTCATTTATTTTCTATATTTTCTGCCTATATTAAATTCCATGGCAACACTTGAAGTCGACCGGCCATTTTCACAAAGTTGTATAACATGTAACTTGTCTTTAATTGTTAGGACAACCTCCAGAACAATTGATGCTGCTACCAGACATAGTCTTGGCCAAAAATGTTCAAAGTTACTATGAAAATAAAAGTAATGTTATTTAAAAAAATATTTCACTATTGGCGCGGCACTGTGGTATAACACGAGGGTCGAGAGCACATTCCTTGTCCAGGCATGGACGGGTCCACTCGGGGCAAGGAGGCACGTTACGTAGGCCGCCAGCAGGAAAAAAAATAGCAATACAGTATTTTTGAAGGAAACTTCAGCCTGTGCAAATTATTTTTAGGAAACTTGTATGGTATTTTTTTATTACATAATTACTAGTATTTCTTTTGATTTTGGCTATGATGAATTGTTCTAAAATTAATGGTAATTCCTGTACTGTAGTGTATAGGCTGCTCCACATCCCCCCTTATTCCCCCAGGCAGTCCCTCCCAATGCTCCACTCTCTCTTGACACCACCCACCCACCCCACCCCCTCCTCCACCATGCGCCTCGAGCCACAGGCAGATGGGATTAATACGGTACGGCCCGCCCCATGGGTTTCATATCCGGACAATTCAATGATTATCCGGCTGACTGTCTGGAGAGTGTAACATCGGCAGTAAGTTAACCGGCTCCGATTTTTTATCTGGCTAAACCAGCTTTTATCCGGCTTCCATGGCAATTTTGGCCAGATATTGAGATAACTTTATCCGGTCATAATTTTAGCCGTATAAGGGCGTTTTCTGGATGTTCGAATCCCGGATAATCGAGTGGTTACAACACATCTTAATACACATTCACACATTAATTTTATCTTCTACCCTAGTGGAAAAAGACAAGTCAATCTACCTTCAATAATACAGCATTTCCAAAGCTCTCACAGCACATCCAGATTGACCACCATAAACCCAATTATTAACCACAGACAGTTTACAGTCCTACAGTTTAAATGTGTATGGTATTACATTTTTGTATTGTAAAAGTACTGTACAATATAATAATGTATTCCACTCTGAGGATGATCAGGCCAGCTTTGAACTTGACCAAGGTAAGCTAAAATTTCTTAGTTCAATTTTACTTATTTCTATGAAAAAACTGCCAAAACATTGTAATCCTGTTATAAATATACAGTACTGTATGTAGAAATATGAATTCAATTGGTTGCTGAAATTCAAATTCAATTGGTTGCAGTGAAAAACTGTTTATCATTTTTCTTTATGTTCTGTAAGGACTTGGGTAACTTGAATGATGGTCAAAATGACTGTCTACATTTGCTAATTTGGATCATACGGGGTCAACCCCAATCCAAATTACTTGGAAATTCAAATTAGCCTGATTTCTTTTGACTTTTTTCAAAAGAATTAGCAAATTTGCTTTTTGTACCACTGTCAAGATAATTTGTATTTCCACATAAAATAAATTTACATGCTTATTGGAGGATTTTCATATAATTAAATTAGAATGACAATTGAAATTTCAACTAGGCGGAGTTAATAAAGCTTGATCGATAAAGGACTTCAATTCTGTCTTTAAGTTTATTTATATTAAACTCGGTACTTGTGTCTAACCCAAAATCCTTTGCAAGACTTGCAATGGAACATCCATTCACAGAAAGTTCAATAACTCTTTAACTTATGTTTGATAGTGTAACTTGGTGCTTGGCTGGAACTGCACTTAACTAGAAAAACTACTGAGGGCTTCACCAGAGATGTACATTTCATTACATTCAAGGCTTCATTTTTGCAATTTGATTTTTGCCTTGTATTAAAGCAAAAAGGTTAACGATAGCATATTGGAGTACTGGCCAAATAGGATGAACACGTATACCCCTAATGACTTTTGCATGCGTCACTGCCTTTCACTCCCTTGAGCCCAGTCTGACAAGACCTGCTGAAAGATCTTTTACCAAAGTACTGTACTGTCATACGAATAAAATCAAATTATCACAAGAGAAGGTTGGGTTAACTCTAAGCTGAAATAGAGTGTGATACCCACTGACAAAGGAAATAAAGAAGCAAAATTAAATAAACTGTTTATAGGTAAGGACAAGTCTTCAAAATATCACAATTTTCTAGTACATAATTAGTTATTTAGGATTTACAGAAAAACAGACAAAGGGTAAGTAACAATTATCCAATGTAATCATTTTGCTTTTTGTTAAAGGAAACATATACCTGTATGGTACCTGCTTAATGCTGTTTTCACTTTCAGGAGGGTGAAGCGGGCTAACAAGGAGGAGAATATGTGGGACTGCAGTGTGTGTACCTACAGAAATTCCCCAGAGGCCTTCAAATGCCTCATGTGTGATGTCCGCAAGGGTACATCTACAAGGTATGGTTTTCGTCCTAAAGAAATTAAATGACTTGCTTTTTATATAAATTATATAAATTTGTATTAATTGCAGTACTGCATTTCATTAATAAACAATGCAGAACTGTACCTTAAGAAGTATGCCAAACCATCTGAATCTTTATATAATAAAGATCATTTTTAAACTGTACAGTACTGTATTGATTTTTTCTTTGTCTCCAGAAAGCCTCGTTTGAATGCTGAATTAGTAGCAGCCCAAGTTGCACAAGTTGTTCCCCCTAAAGTCAAGAAACCTGAAAGAAAGGACAGGGAACGGAAGGGAGAGGGTCGAAATCTACAAAAAGGCAGGTCAGTCGTGGAGAACATAAGAAAAACTAAATCACTGTATTATTGTTTGGGCACTTCAAGGTCCTGCTCAGCAATGCCTAAAGTATTTATACGGAACTTATATATTTCTCAGTTTTGAGGTTAACTACAAATTTGGTGTCAAAATGTTTGCAAATAAATTTGCTAGAGTATAGATGCAAAATAAAGTGTTTTGATAATAGATTGTGTGTGACGGTGCTGAATATATGAAGTTTATCAACATTTCAACATTCGTCCTGCATTTTTCAACACAAATAAAAACAAAAAATATGGAAATGTCTGCACATGATTGTTGAGAGAATGGTCTCTTTGTTTCTCACAGCTGACTTCAAGTGGCACATTGCAGAACACCTGCAAGTGTATTAAGTCTGTAAATTTACCGTTGTGTGCTGACAGTGCACATAGCCAATATTCCTTAGTACTGGACTAAAGCCTAGTTTGTTAGGTGTCTGATGAGAGCCCATAATGCTAGGAGCATAATGATGGCACACAAAAGCTGTTGTATGTTTAGTCAGGGAGGAGATAGAGGGGAACATAGTATTTCCATTGTTACAAGTCAACCCTATAAATGTGTTAAGGGTTTTAAATAAATATACTGTATGGCAAATTTTAATGGCTCATACTGTATAGTGTAGAGCAAACCATCAGGTTGAGAAATATTTTTTGTGTTTATCATACTCGTTTTAGGATGAGCCCAGCGATATAAAAACTCACTGTATAATTTCTTTTTTCCAGACCAAGGTTGAAGAATGTTGATAGAAGTACCGCACAGCACAATGCCGTTACCGTTAACAATGTCACCGTCATCATTACAGAGTTCCAACCCAAGCAACGTAAAACTTCTTCTGGAAATAGTTCGGCAACAACAAATGGTGACACTTCCCAAATCATGTCATCCTCTGAAGCAGGATCTATCTCGGATGCTTCAACAGACACGCGCAACGGTGACATAACAACTGAATCCCGGAGTTCGTAGGTCCATGAAATATTTTCTTTAATCATTAAAATTTCCAGTCATGTTGTGAATAAACTACTGTAATGCTATTGGCTCTTGTGAATATTACCAGTATTGCATGGAAAATGTTGAAAAAGTAAAATGTGGGTCTTTTGAAAATCACAGCTGGTCCTTTGTTGGATCTGTGAATTTAGACCCGAGTGCTGACAAACACTTTGTGTGCTGTGTTGTGAAACTAGCAGACATTATTTAGAAAAAAGCTAGTGACTATGTAGGAAGAAAGAGAGAGAGAGGGAGGGAGGGAGAAAGAAAGAAAAAGGACTTTCAGTACATTGCATTGATTGCAAGCCATTACTGGTATGTGTGTACAGTTTGGTTAATCCTAAAGGTACTATTTATGCACATGGCATAATGACCATTCATGATGTTACAGAGTTAAGACTGCCTTTGATCATTATTGCCTTTGAATATAAAATCCAGCAGGAAATGAAACCTCTCGCATGTTCAGTTCTATGTATCATAAATACTTAAACCAAAAGAGAAACTCTGTAGTTTGATATTCATATAAAGTATAATAATATCTGTCTTATTCTTGGTATGTTATAGGACAGATAGGTAAATACAGATTTTATTGTCACTGTACAGTATCTAGAAAAACTACAGTAACTCTTAGTCTGAAATCTATCGGCATTAAAAAATTAGCTAGAATCATGTTATTATTTCTGACAAGATATGAAACCATTGTTATGATAATGTACAAATACATCATGTTGCCTTGTTAGCATTGTCTAAAAAAAAGCCACTGAATTTCCAGAGGTGCCACGTGTGTTTTACTGAGACACTTGCTTGGATTAATCTCGTGACCACCATATTTTTATGCTTGGTGAGAATTTTAACACCTTTGTATTAATTCTTGGTACAATCATGGTAATGCCAAGAGATTTCTTTACGGTTAGTATTTGGGCTATAAGTCCTTGATGTAAATTTGTAACAAAAATGAAGTAGTGTAATATAGTGTGAGTGAGTGTGTTGTGAGAAGTGAAAGGTTTGATACATTTTGCTAAAAATTATGTAAAGTACCATTCAGTGTCACTCAGAGTAGTATATTTAATTGTGACATGTTTTTTTAAGTGACTTCAGTTTTATAAATCAATATTGGGACTATTTCTTTACTTACTTTTTGTATATGTTGGAAGAAAATTTCACTGTAGAGAACATGTTTTTTGCCATATGGTACTACTGTGGGATGAAGTGGTACGGAGAGTGCCTGAAGGGCAGTGCCGGGCCTCCAGATCAAAGGTGACCACTGCACAACTTGATAAATAATGCTTGGCAATTAGGCCCATGGAATGTATCTGGCATTTGAAGTTGGAAATTACCACTGATGTTTTCATTGTCGGGCATTGTTTATTTCCCAGTATACAAGTGCTACCATTCTATTTACTTGTTTGCATTTTGTTCTATTACAAATATTTTTGTTCTTTCTAATAAAGTTCGTTTTCACTGACATTAATAATAATGTTTCTTCTTTTCAGTGCAGTAATAGTAGTATTTAAATATATATAGAAAGAAATCTATGACATTAAATAAATTTTATAAAGAATGTTAATGACAAAGGATGTTGTTTGAATAGTTCTTAAGATCGATTAATTCGGTTAGAATGTTTAAAAGTTGACAGTTTACCGATGTCGTCCATTTGAGCAAGACACTTTAGCCAAGAACTATTAACCAGGATTATGGTTGTGCATATAACTAACATAGCAGTAACTCTAAAACCTATGTAGTCCCCCATTACTTCAAGTAGCCCAGTGATTGACCAAATTGTTCATTTGTTCTTTTCTAGCAGGGCTTAACCCTTAGCTACTGTATTGTATGGTAACCCCAGGTTTTTTATAACCTAATTTAAATATTTGATGAATGTTAAATTTATATTTGATATTTTGCAGAGTATTCAGTAAAGCAGAACTCAAACGAAGGTACATTTTTGTCATCTTTGTGCTGAAATGCACCAAGGCATTTGGTTTTTTTCATTTCAACTTGCAGTTTAAGCCAGATACCATGTTGACATGTCTATTCCTAAAATATTAACAGATCAGCTTTTTGTAATGTCTTTGAGAAAGCTATTTGATTTGTATATTTTAAATTACAATATTTAATTTTTATATATATACACAGTAAATATATAAAGAAATTACAGAAATATGCCATTAAACTATAGATTATATGGTTTAAACAACAAATGGAAATAGAGGAGGCAGACATGACACCTTTCTGCATTCATGCAACAATATAATTTTGAGGCCTGTGAAATATAACTGCCATATGCCCAAATGGGCAGGTCATTTCCAGTCTGTGTTGAACCCTTTAAGTATTGGGTACTCTTGACATTTTAGTGATAATTATATTAAAACATTGTTAGTTTAATCAACGAAAAACCCCATTAACAAGTTATCATATATCTACAGGACCTGCCAATAACAAAGGAGACTATACTATATGCTATAGGCTCTAATTTGAAAATTATTCAAATTTAACTTAACATGCTAAAATGTTTGACTCGCATTTTTGCGACTGCCTTCACGGTGGGAAAGCGGTAATAAATTGAGTTAACTTTTTTATTTTTGTTACAAATTGACTGTTTTCCCCAAACTTGTTTATAAGTGATTAAATTTTTAATATTTCCTCTAATCTGAACAATTAAAATAATTTTTAATGTTTCCTTTCCTCTAATCTGTACTACTGTGTTAAACAAATTAAAGTATAATTTGCTGGTTTTGAAACAGTTCATCACTTTTTTCTTATTAATGCATTTGAGAGCTGGTGGATATACCCATTTTATTCAGTCTTCACTTTCAAAGGTTAGCCCAGATGCTATAATTAATGGATATACTGTATGTCAGAGCTGTTAGCAGGCCAAAAATCAGTTCAGGAAATTGTTTAATGTGGTTAAATAAGCATTTTATTTTTTATTTTATTTTTAGCTCGGAGAAAGTGCACAACTTTTTTTATGGATTTCTTGGATGCATATACTGTATCTAAGAAATTTTGTATCATCGGTGACTTGTGTTGAGCTAAATAGTCATGCTCATTTGAACCTAGGGGTGCTAATTCAAAATATCTTGGCATGTTGAAGTTGAAATAGTCCATTTTACAACTGGATTTTGTGGTATATAGTATAGGGTCTCATTTTATACCGGAAGACCCTTTCCTTTGTTCATCATCTAGAATGTATAGTAGCTACATATATGATTGGGAGAGAAATCATAAATAATGTAATTAATTCTTGTATGAATAAATCTAAAAATATGAATGTTTAATTAAAATCTTGGTTGTGTATAGTGATAGGCAAATAACTTGTTTATTTGGTGCACAGTAAATCATATAATGTGAAGATACTGAATGATTGCCAATGATGTTTTCCTTTACTTAGTACATCACAGAATTTGTGCACATTACATCTCATTACTTTGAGTGACTGAAAAAGACAAACTGAAAAATTACCCCTAACTTGTAAATATTTACTCTACATTATAACAGAAGTACTGTATAATCTGATGCCTTAAAAGTTACTGTATTATAAATAAGACCTTAAAATCCAAGAGAGAAAAACCAGTACTGTATAATGGATCAACATGTTTTTAGCACATTGGGTTGGGTACAAGTTTATTTTAAGCCAATATATCAGTCCCCCCAAATATATGTTACATTGGCTGGATTGTATATTAAGGTCTTGGAGATTGTGATGTAAAAATTTTCATTGTCATGAAACTTATTTGCTTGTTTCATTGTTTACCTCCAGCACAATAACAATACAAATATGTTTTCTGATTTAAAATTATTAATTACATTTTTCTGAAGTACCTAGTTATAATGACGATACAAAAATATTGCATACAATCTTCTTGATCCTTTTAACATTTAGTTCCGTACTGCTAATAATTACAATGAAATCTTTATCAAAATGTTAGAAAATATCTGACTGGTGCCAAAATGAAGACAATGTGTTGATTCTTAACTGACACTAATTTTTATAAAGAAAATAGTTATTGCATTAGACTTCAATATATTTTTTATGGTGGACTATAAAGGATATTGCATTGTAATTGATCTTGAAACTTATGATCTCTTGATGGTAGAATACTCTGCGGGTGTCATACTACTGCCACATCTATTTTGTATCATTGAGCCAATTTTAATTTTGATAGTTGTAATAAATATGCTCCTTGTTAGCTCAGTTGGCTAAGTACATGGATGCTGCATTACCAGTCCACTTTTTCCCAGTGGATATCAGAAAACATACACTCTTAAGAGAGCCTGGGTACTACGGGGTCTTTTTTGGTCCACTTTCCCCAGGGAGTTCATAGTGAGCGATAGATTGATATAGACCAGCATTATTTTTTTAAATTACCTGTATATACACACACACACACACACACAAATTTATTTATGTACATTAAAACCAGGCATGCTCACACGATTGCATTCCTACAGATTGTGACCCTGTAAATTACAATATTAATTCATTGTTAGCATTTCACCAAATTTTTATTTGGTTTCAAAAACCCAAATTTTGGGATATTTTTACTATTATTTTTGTACGTATATTATAAACATCACAAATATTTTATTTATGATTATAAACATAAATGTATAAAAAGTAAAGGCAAAGTAGTTTTGTATTTACCGAAATATAGAATTGTAATTTAATGGAAAATGGGGATTGGTACACAACACCTAGACTGCTTGAAGATGTTAGCTCACAAAATAGTCTTAAGATTTATAATTTTGATGTATGCCAATTTTCTTTTGTCATTCTGCTCACTGGGTCCCAATCCCAACAATGTACAAGAAAATGTTACCTTAAACAATGTTTAAAGAAAGCAGTATCTCCATCAAGACAAACGGGTGTACCAGTTCCCTTCGTTACAAACTCAACGTTAGCCATATTATTCAGTGGTGCAACATATAATATTGGCACCTGCCTTTTTCCTGCATTCAACACTTACATATGCTCATGCCCATATTAGTTTGCTGGTTAATTAATTTTAAATTTTCCTCTGGAGGGCTAGTTATTGACCAGTATCTTTCATACTGTGAGTGAACATACTGCCATAGCAGCACATGCAACACCACCTAACGATGAAAGCTTGCTGGGTTGTTCTTCCGGTCACTTGTACCTAGCTAGACATTGCTGGGACTTACTCAACTGTTTCAAGAGAACAGATTGTCAAATAAAGGATTAACATCTTACAGCCCTCAAATTTGTTATCTTGCTGGTGCAAAATGAAGAACCCTTTTGAGGACAGTATATTTGACAAAAAAATTATTTCCTAACTCAATGTGGGCTTTTTCAAAATATCTGGCAGTGGTCCAGGCGCTGTTCTTCACTCATACTGGAAATTCTGCAACTTTGCTGTTCAGCCCCTCCAAAATGTCACCTTGTCGTTGTGAGGGGGCTCACGTACGACTCCCCGGGGGCCGGTGAGGGTTGCCTTGGTCCCCTCTCCTGCTCCTGCTGTCCTAGACTGCCTCTCTTGGTTGTCTCCTTCTCATCCTCTTCCTCCGGACCCTGCTCATCTGCCTCTGGTCTGTCCTTCCGCTCCCTTCCCTCCATCTTTACTCAGTTTACCCATGCCCCCTAACCAAGACTTCGCTGACCCTGATCCCGACCCTGAGCTATTTTAACGTGCTATGTTCCGTTCTCACCTTTGTGAAAAGGTGATAATACTACAAACAGTAGTGATAATACTGACAAACTAATACTCCTGTCCAATAACGATGATCAGCTTACAGCCTCTGATACTGCTATTGAGTTCAATAGGTTCTTCTCTTCCATTGGGTCATCCCTTGCAAATTACATTCCATCTTACAGTACTGATGTTCAGGACTATCTTACAAGTAACTATCCACAGTCTCTGTACCTAAAGCCTACAAATTCCACTGATGTTAATGAGATAATCCTTTCCCTTAAAACCAAGTCTAGTGCCATTGAGGAGATACCAACTTTAATTTACAAAAAAGTCTCCAGATCTTTAGCCCCTGCTATTGCATTGCTCTTCAACAAGTCACTTGAACTTCAAACCTTTCCAGATATTCTAAAAAAAAAGCGAGAGTAACCCCTGTCCACAAATGTGGTGATCTCACTGATGTTAACAATTACAGACCTATATCAATCCTGCCAAACTTGTCAAAAATATTGAAAAATTAATCTACAAGCTGCTTTACTCTTATCTAGCCAAACACAATATACTTAGCTCTTGTCAATATGGCTTCAGACCACAAAATACTCAGTCTTCTCTGATAAGACTGAGCTCTTGTTAACAAACACAGTAGTGCAAACAGTGCGCTAAGCACTGTTAAAGGGAGCGCTAATTATATGATCAAGTGCCATGTATTTATTCATCTTCTTAACTTATCAACTTCTATTGTCTCGTTTAAGTCATAATAGTGTCTTGGAAGACGAGAACAGCAGCGAACACAAATCAGCGAATATGCATAGACGAAAGGATTCGTGTATACAGACTTGTCAGTGAACGAACTTGTTCCTGAACGGCCGGTGTGCGAAACTACAGTAGACGATTGAAATTAAATTATTAAATTAAATTTTTTATTCAAGTAAGGTACATACATACAAGGTAAGATACAAAGTTGATAGATTCATAGATAGAGCTAGTACATACAATGCCTAAAGCCACTATTACGCAAAGCGTTTCGGGCAGAAATTTGACCATTCCCCCCCCCCCCCCATCAACCACAACACACGCCTCAGGAGGAGGTCCTGGCACACATGCTCACATCTTAGACAACAACTCTCCACATTTAATATAACTCTGAAGGTGAGTAGACTTTCACTCACGAGTCCTTAGCACACTTAGCACAGTGGTCACCGTCATCGCCTCACCGTCTGTATGTATGAGAGGGATAGATTCAAGACAAGTATTATATGTACTACCTTTATCTTTAAATCTAACAGCATGTTTGTACTGTAACGCTGCAACTATGTATGTACTGTTCCTAAATAAATTATTATTATTATTATTACCTGTCCAAAACACTACCCGTGGTAGTGGCTTTGTATGAATGTAAGAACACCAATGTTATGTACTCTCACAAACCCAATGCACCTTCTTGTATACGTATAAATAAGTAAAAAATAAGCGTGCCCAACCACCTCTGCCCCCGCCAGGGTATCGAACCCAAAATTGTCGATTGTAATTACCTAAGTGTAGTTACAGGATGAGAGCTTCGCTCGTGGTGTCCCGTCTTCCCAGCACTCTTTGTCATATAACGCTTTGAAACTACTGACGGTCTTGGCCTCCACCACCTTCTGTAGTTTCAAAGCGTTATATGACAAAGAGTGCTGGGAAGACAGGACACCACGAGCGAAGCTCTCATCCTGTAACTACACTTAGGTAATTACAATCGACAATTTTGGGTTCGATACCCTGGCGGGGGCAGAGGTGGTTGGGCACGCTTATTTTTTACTTATTTATACATATACAAGAAGGTGCATTGGGTTTGTGAGAGTACATAACATTGGTGTTCTTACATTCATACAAAGCCACTACCACGGGTAGTGTTTTGGACAGGTAATAATAATAATAATAATTTATTTAGGAACAGTACATACATAGTTGCAGCATTACAGTACAAACATGCTGTTAGATTTAAAGATAGAGGTAGTACATATAATACTTGTCTTGAATCTTGAGGTCTTGAATCTATCCCTCTCATACATACAGTATCTGTGCTTGGGGTTGAACCACGGCAAATTACCTTAAGCCGATCATCACTCGGCATAAATCTGCTATCAGATCTATAACAAACTCTGTCTTCAGACAACCTACAGCCCCTCTGTTTAAGTCCCTTAACATGCCAACATACACTCACTCCACACATTCTCATGTTCTATTTACCTGTACAAAACCTTGTTCATAAATGCTAATCTTGATCTGAAACTTTTCCTTTATAGGTGTAATAGAACCCATAATCACCACATCAGAAATAAATATCTCTTTGATATCCTCACGAGTCAAACTAAGTCTGTATAAACACTATGCAGATAAAGGGACCTAGTCTGTGGAACTCATTTCCTTAGGAATTAAAAAGCTGTCCATCCTACGCCTTATTCAAAAGTAAAACCAAAAGTACCTAATTTAATCCTCGTAGTTTCCTACCTAGTGCTTCAAACTCGCACTGTATCTTGTACTACACACACTCCTAATATATGTGCCTAAGCCATACAACTTCACCTTTGTAATCACTGCTATCATCTTATATCAGAGTTGTTATGTTGAATACATATTTTACTACAACATATCTAGAAATGATCCTCAAATTATGCTACAATGTACCTGTTGATAATCCTCAAATTTTACTATAATGTACCTACTAATTTTCTTCAAATGTTCTTACAATGTACCTGTTAAAATCTTTCAATTTAGCTAGAAATTACCTATTTAAAATTATCTGTTAGATTAAAGGAACTGCCTGAAGAACTATGCCTACCGGTGAAACCACTTTTCACAAAATCTTTGGATCAAGGGGTAGTAATTCTAGATTGGAAATATGCAAGTGTCACACCTACTTTCATAAAAGGCAGAAAGAGCTCATCAGAAAACTACCGGCTAATCAATTTGACATGACACATCTGCAAGCTCATGGAGGGAATCCTCAAGGAGGGAATCATTTACCATCTTTCAGTGAACAATATTTTACAACAGACACAACATGGGTTTGTTAAAAACAGGTTCTGCCCTACAAACTTGCCCACGTTTTTGGAAACGATAACCAGCTATTCAAACAAAGGCCTTCTGGTGGATATAATATACATGGATTTTGCTAAAGCCTTTGATAACGTACCACATGAAAGACTGGCAAGGAAATTACAGGCCCATGGAAAAATGGTAAAATATTAGAATGGATAAAACGATGGTTGATGGGGGGGACCTTCGACAAGTTGCCTGCTTCATATCCTTGTTGAGGCCACTAGGGTTAGTGGCCCTCAGGTAAATCAGGTAAGACAAAGTGGAGAGTAGAATTACATTATAGAATACTATATACAATTCAAACTTGTTACGTTTAAGGCGGAAGAGAAACAATCTTCATCCACATGGTTTATTGTCAACGAAACAACAACAATAAGAAGTATACGGTACATAACTTACTATTTACAAGATTATAAACAAAAGAGCATCTCTTAAAACGTGCTACATTTAACATCTGTACTACTTAATCCTAACAAAACTCATTGTTTTTCTGAACAGATACATAATGGACATAATATCACCTGAGGGCCTGCGTCAAGATGGAAGAACACCTCTTTGTCTACGTACCATCAGTTGCAGATTAGGGCTTTATGACAGACCTAATGGCAGTGCATATATTGAAATGGGAAATACAAAAGTTCTTGCAGCTGTATATGGACCTAGAGAGGTAAATATTATTTTTAACAATATTATAATTGCAATACTATACCACAATACTATGTCCATGTTTTTCGTTATCTGTGGCTAGTTAGTTTCAGGGAATCGACAGGGCTCCTCCAAAACTCCAGCTTTAGATGTAATGAAATGCCATTTTCTGGACGAAGCCCCGGAGGCTCCCTGACACATGAGGCACTCCCTCCAGTTGGCATTTTTTTTTTATATACAGTTCTTTACATGCTAAGAACTAAGGTGGTGGGTGGCCAGCTCATGTGAGCTGACTTCCCCCTCTTTTTGGGGCAGGAGGGGAGGATACACTAATGAGCAGGAGTACTAGTTGCATACAGGGTTGCTATTTTATTTTCTTGCAGGAGGAGTTCCTTTCCTCTTTCTGGCTGAAGGTAGCAATTTTACCAGCTAGTTGTTTGTTTTGGTTTGCCTATCTTTCTGGATGCCCACCCTAGTCAATGGTGGAATATGACATACAGTACTTTAAATGTAAAATACTTGTATGCCATTGCTTCGTGCACCTCTCTGAGGGGGGTCAGGTTTTAGCTCATGGTCTCTGGTAGGCAAAAGAACTCCTGAGACTGATGACCTAAACTAATAAGGCACTATATCAATTCAGATAGCTTCAGGGAGCCCCCAGAGCTTCGCCTAGAAAATGGAACTACATTACAATTAACACTGGAATTTTTTTTTGTTTTTTTTTTCTTTTAATTTCAGGTAAGAAGTGTCAGTAAGCAGCAGCTTGATGAATGTGTTATCCAGTGTCAGATGAGCCGCATTGCTGCCAGTCAGGGAGAAAGGCTTAAACGTCCAAGGGATCAAAAAACTCGGGCAACAGGTCAACAAATTGCTGGCATATTTCATGCAGCAATACGAAAAAGCAAATACCCTGGTTCACAGATTGATATATTTGTACAGGTAAGAATTCTTTGCCTAACAGATGTATGTTTTGGATTTGATTTTGAGTATGAGGATGATAACTTTGTAAAATTACAATTGTATCACACAGTACAGTGGTCTGTGTCTTTAGTTTACAAACAAAGGATCTGGGTTCAATTCCCAGGCAGGACAAATGGTAGGGTACTTTTCCTTTCACTTGATGCCTCTGTTCACCAAGTTGCAAAATAGGCAACTGTTGTGGGTTGCATCCTAGGGCAGGTTGGTACTTGGCCTCGATAATAGGCTCTATTCTTGATAACAGGAATTATAATTTTAACTATAGCAATGAGATATGCATTTTCTTTGATCATTTTAACCTGAATTTTATGCTGTTTGTTGTATCTGCATACTTTCTCTCCCCGGAGCTATCCAGGCTGAATGGATATGTATAACTTTCTGGCATCAGTCAAAGTGCATGGAGTTCTTGCCTACCGGGGACCACGAGCCAGAACCTGGCCCTCGTGATGACAGCATGCTAATTTGCTAATTTTGTTTGGGGAGTTCTGTCCACTCATTCAGCTTTCAGTAGCAATCTTTTCACCAGAATAGGGGTTTGTTTTGGGGCGCCTACCTTTCTGGGGTGCCTGTCCTGGTCGATGGCAGACATAGAATGCTCCCAACCTCAAGGGGGTTTCTATAGGCCATTGCTCCTCGTGCCTCTCTGAGGGGGCCAGGGTCTGGCTCGTGGTCCATGGTAGGCAAGAACTCCTAGCACTTTGACTGATGCCAGAAAGTTATACTTATCCATTCAGCCTGGATAGCTCTGGGGAGCCTCCAGGACTCCCTGAAAATGACGTTTCATTACATTCAACGCTGGTTTTTTACCATTATTTATTTTAACCATTCAATTTTTGGATGATACACTCCTTGACAGATGTACAGTATTAAAATCTGAGGTAATCTCACTTTGATGGCTCCTCAGTCCTTTGAAATGCATTTATTCTTTAGAATGGGTTTCTTTACTTCATCAATGTCATGTTGTTGTTTTAATCTGGTGCACGCCTTTCCTCACACAGGTCTCTGGGATTCATTTAATTAACACAACTATATGCTATTATTGTAAATTAAAGTCTGCCATGCTAAATATTGCAACTTGAGGCTACTGTAATTGTGTATGTAACAGATGATTTGAGTCATACAATTGCCCATGCTGATTACATCACCTTGTAATTGAGGTGTACATATTACACCACTCTGTTGGTATCCAGAAACATAGTGGCCCAAGAATACCTTTCTTGATCTACTGCTATCATAACCACTAGTTAATTAACATATTGGTGCCTAGTATGCAGATCTTGTGAAGATATTTTGTATTGTTTTATTTATGTTTGAGAAGGTAAAATGGGTTATTTTATTTGTATTTAAATGTTTTCACAGTAAGCAACATGAATTTGGAATTGTTATAACGTAAAATTTAAAGCAGTGCTGGTATAATACTGACACCATTGCCTTGCCAAGCAGAGCAGGATGTCACTATTTAACACCCAAATTTGTTATTTAAGGGCAACTATTTTATTTTAAGACCACCGCTTCTTATATTGTATTATAGTTCAAATATACTCAATAATTTCTCTCCAGCTGTTATATGTAATTACAAAGTTTAATAATTTATTAAATATTTTAGGTTTTACAGGCAGATGGAGGCGTGATGTCAGCTTGCATAAATGCCTCTACTTTAGCCCTGATCCATGCAGGTGTAGAACTAGTAGACTATGTGGCATCATGCACTGCCTCGATTAACAAGCAAACTCCTCTTCTGGATGTGACACATCAGGAGATCATGACGGGCTGTGAAGTATCTGTTTCCATTCTGCCTAACAAAGGTTCCATAGTGTCTCTGGATACATCACACACTGTACATCAAGATCAGTTTGAATCTGTATTAGACCTTGCTGTGATTGGTTGTCAGCAAGTATATGAAGAGATGCACAAAGAAGTTGAAAGTTATTTAGAGGATAAGCATGCTATAATGTCACATCGGTAAACACTTCAAACAATTGTGAAAAAAAAACTTTAAAACCTTTAAAAATAAAAGTTCTTATATTTTCCTAGTTTCTTATTCCCTTGGCTCAAATAATTTTCCACATAAGACTGAAAACTATTAGATTGTATTGTTGCAACCTGTTCTTGCACAAGACAGCACATATAAGACTTATTGCTTATAGTCAATATTTGGCTTATGAATAAGTACATATGTGGTATATTCCAAGTTATATTTTTTTAAGGCGCTAACTCTTCCTCCCGATTTACTATACACAAATTTTAAATATTAGGATTTTTTTTTAGTTTAAACAATAGAGATTTTATACAAAATTTGACAAATATCCTGAGTTACTTTACAATTTATTTAAATATTTTAGTTTTGTTTCATTATTTTTATAAAACTGTAATAACAATATAGGTATAGGTTAAGTACTAATTGTAATTAAGAAGCAATAAAATGCTTATCTTAACATACTAAGGTTAGGTTAGGGTTGTGGTTTTCTATTCAACTTTTCAGGTAAACTCAAATATTCACAATAAATTAGTAGATCACATATGTACTTATTCATAAGCAAAATATTGACTATAAGCAAGTGCGAGAATGTAAATATAATATTCACTATTATAAACTGTACCTCTTGTTAAATTGTTTTACAGGAACTTCTTTTTGACGGCTCATAAAATGGAGGAAAGTATCCTGAAAGATATTATTGATAGGAATGTTATCCCCACAGACACAAATTAGATGATACAATTAACAATTTACTACAAAAACAAGAAGACGGCCACTAGTTTAGACATTCGAACTAGGTCAATAGGCCGTTATCCCTCTTTGCCCTTACTTCATTACACAGTAAGTAAGTACTTAAGGGCGAAGAGGGAGAATGACCTATTGACATAGCTCGAGTGCATGGGGGGAGTTGTGTAAAACCCTGGTTTGTGCCTCAGAGAGGCTACAGGAACCAGTAAGTTCAATAGAACTTCGGTTTCAACTCCTTTTGACCATGTCGTAGGGTGCAGTCGCACCTCCACAGATCTCCAGTATCACCTCTTGATACTGGTAATGGCTCAAAAGGGCCACCACTTACGGGCTATTCATGCCCGTGCCACCTTTTTGGTGGCTTAATCTTCATCAATAAATCGTTGTTATCTACGCGAGACGTATCTCCCGTCACGCAGGGTGCAGTCGCACCTCCACAGATTTCCAGTATTAGCTCTTGATACTGGTAATGGCTTAAGAGGGCCACCACTTACGAGCTATTCATGCCCGTGCCACCTTTTGGGTGGCTTAATCTTCATCAATTGTGTGGGAGACATCTCCCGTCACGCAGGGTGCAGTCGCACCTCCACAGATCTCCAGTATCATCTATTAATACTGGTGATGGCTCAAAAGGGCTACCACTTACCAGCTATTCATGCCCGTGCCACCTTTTGGGTGGCTTAATCTTCATCAATCAATCAATCGTAGTTATCTGACATGGTCAAGGAGACATCTTGCTTTTAAATTAGCCCAAAAAGTAGCAAGTAGCGAAATTAAAAAATTGGGAGCGCGGGGCTCTCAAAAGTAGTCCAATTCGCTATTTATAGCCCAATCTGGCAACACTGGCTTGCGGTAATTAGACGGACCGCTGTGCAATATATAAACCGGCTTAACCGGTTATATATTAACACGTTGTACTGAATGGGGTGAGAATAGCTTGAGCTACCTCATCCCTTTGTGTGTATTTTACCTCAATAAACTTATTTCAATTTCAATTTCAATTTCAAAACCGGCTTTGGATGGTAGTTATCCTGACTGGAGACATCTCCCATCACGCAGGGTGCATTTGCACCTCCACAGATCTCCAGTATCATCTATTAATACTGGTGATGGCTCAAAAGGGCCACCACTTACCAGCTATTCATGCCCGTGCCACCTTTTGGGTGGCTTAATCTTCATCAATTGTGTGGGAGACATCTCCCGTCACGCAGGGTGCACCTCCACAGATCTCCAGTATCATCTCATGTTACTGGTAATGGCTCATAAGGGCTACCACTTACGGGCTATTCATGCCCGTGCAACCTCTTGGGTGGCTTAATCTTTATCAATCAATCAATCGCAGTTATCCGACGGGAGACATCTCCCGTCACGCAGGGTGCAGTCGCACCTCCGCAGATCTTCAGTGTCATCTATTGATACCAGTAATGGCTCAAAAGGGCCACCACTTACGGGCTATTCATGCCCGTGCCACCTTTTGGGTGGCTTAATCTTCATCAGTCGAGAGCAGTACGTCCTAACCAGACGTTATATGATGATATCCTGAACAGTTGATAAATAAAAGTAATTGCGGAACTCCAGTTATCTAATACTTATCATATATGGTATAAAACCTTATCATAAGCCAAGGGATTTGTAGATCAGTGTTTAAAGGGAATTCGGAAGTAATAATAATACAGCTGATGCCATCTGTCGGCAGAAGAGAACACTATCAACTGGCTGGTTAATAGTGGCCATAAGATACAGCTTACGCCATCTGTTGACATCAAATTACACTTATAACAAATTACCCTACAAAATACAACTAACGCCATCTCGTTTTTTTCCAACGCACTATAAATAGCCAAACAGCAACCCATAAGGTGGGTTGTTGTGCTCGGGTAGGAGGTTCCAAGCTCCGCCCACAAATGGTATGGGGTGCATAATAAATGGCATATCATTGGTAGATATTCTTTGTTGACATTCACACAACAGCCAATCACAGGAAGGGATCAGCTAAAGGCTCCATTAAACTTAATAAATCATCTTTATTCAGCACACCATCCTTCCTTATGACATTCTGCTTCAACTTTAATCTACCTAAAAAGTGAAATGTTAAGTATTTAAAAATATTAATATAGTGATAATTAAATACTGCAGGATGTAACGAGTGTTACAGAAACATGGGCTGGCTACCTAACTTGTGACGTCATCAGGAGGGGTTGCCTCACACAAATAATGATACACTGCTCTGCCCTCTTATTAGAGTAAATTATTCAGTTAGATGGAGATTTCTGTCAGGTGCAAAACAGAAATTGTTGTTCTTTTTCACAACAACCTTGTTGCTATGTACAAGGACCTATTTCTTTGTTTAAATTTTATTCATAAAAGAGTGTTGGTACTCCCCGCAACAGCCAATCACAGGAAGGTCTTTCTGGAAGCTCGGCCTCCTTATGGACTCAGCACATCGCTCTAGCTCATGGCTCTCTGTTTCATGTCTTGTATATACAAACTATGACTTTTCGATTACTGTTATAATTAATAATATGAGATATAAATGTTTTTACACAAAATGGCTAAATTCTGCCATTAAATATACTTTGTCTGGTATACATACAAACATACACCAATTTATTACCATTCATCCATTATTAATTTCAAATGTAATGTATACTGTCTAGTTTTTTCCTCTCGCCATTACTTGGTGCAATATTTGAAAGTTGTCTATTTATTTATCGATCTATCTATTATCTTGTATTTATATTTACAAGTTTCTGTGCTTGGAAGAAAACTCTGCATTGAATTAATTTGTTAAATAATATTATTTAGTATTAATTAATATTTACAATTATTTATAGCTTAGTTACTTTCATGTAACTCGCAATCGTACATTCTTAATTTTAATAGCCCAAATTAACACATCTTGCTTTTAAATTAGCCCAAAAAGTAGCAAGTAGCGAAATTAAAAAATTGGGAGCGCGGCCGGCCGGGGCTCTCAAAAGTAGTCCAATTCGCTATTTGTAGCCCAATCTGGCAACACTGGCTTGCGGTAATTAGACGGACCGCTGTGCAATATATAAACCGGCTTTGGATGGTAGTTATCCACCATTTGGTCACCATTTGGTCCGGGAGACATCTCCCGTCACGCTGGGTGCAGTTGCGCCTCCACAGATCTCCAGTATCATCTTTTGATACTGGTAATGGCTCAAAAGGGCCACCACTTACGGGCTATTCATGCCCGTGCCACCTCTTGGGTGGCTTAATCTTCATCAGTCAATCAATCAATCGGTAGTTATCCTGACTGGAGACATCTCCCGTCACGCAGGGTGCATTTGCACCTCCGCAGATCTTCAGTGTCATCTATTGATACCAGTAATGGCTCAAAAGGGCCACCACTTACGGGCTATTCATGCCCGTGCCACCTTTTGGGTGGCTTAATCTTCATCAGTCGAGAGCAGTACGTCCTAACCAGACGTTATATGATGATATCCTGAACAGTTGATAAATAAAAGTAATTGCGGAACTCCAGTTATCTAATACTTATAATAAATGGTATAAAACCTTATCATAAGCCAAGGGATTTGTAGATCAGTGTTTAAAGGGAATTCGGAAGTAATAATAATACAGCTGATGCCATCTGTCGGCAGAAGAGAACACTATCAACTAGCTGGTCAATAGTGGCCATAAGATACAGCTTACGCCATCTGTTGACATCAAATTACACTTATAACAAATTACCCTGCAAAATACAACTAACGCCATCTCGTTTTTTTCCAACGAACTATAAATAGCCAAACAGCAACCCATAAGGTGGGTTGTTGTGCTCGGGTAGGAGGTTCCAAGCTCTGCCCACAAATGGTATGGGGTGCATAATAAATGGCATATCATTGGTAGATATTCTTTGTTGACATTCACACAACAGCCAATCACAGGAAGGGATCAGCTAAAGGCTCCATCCACTTAATAAATCATCTTTATTCAGCACACCATCCTTGCTTATGACATTCTGCTTCAACTTTAATCTACCTAAAAAGTGAAATGTTAAGTATTTAAAAATATTAATATAGTGATAATTAAATACTGCAGGATGTAACGAGTGTTACAGAAACATGGGCTGGCTACCTAACTTGTGACGTCATCAGGGGGGTACGTTGCCTCACACAAATAATGATACACTGCTCTGCCCTCTTATTAGAGTAAATTATTCAGTTAGATGGAGATTTCTGTCAGGTGCAAAACAGAAATTGTTGTTCTTTTTCACAACAACCTTGTTGCTATGCACAAGGACCTATTTCTTTGTTTAAATTTTATTCATAAAAGAGTGTT